TTTGTTGGCCATTCGAAATGGTCCTTTAATTAGCTCATTTCAAGCGGAATGTGAGGCTTGATTACCGCTGACTTTCCTCTTTCTTCCAAAAGGATCAAATAAATATATCGAGAGCTTTGACAGGGGTACATAAGTGAGTTGGTTAATGTTGCAAGGGGTGGACATTAAATGTGCTCATTAGTCAGGGGGAATTTACTGGGGAATTAGTTCTAAAATATTATTTCACGACGTCGAGGCGAATTTTATTTCTATTATATTGCATACCATTTCAATTAATCGGTATTTTAAATAATGGTATTATGTGTAGTATGCTTTTAATAGCGCTAATACAGTGTTATATTGATATATTTTGGACAAAACACAGGGAACTTTCCAAAAAAAATATTAACTTCTTTTTTAAAAAATTTTCTTTAAAGAAATAAATAACCAAACAAATTCGTAAAGTAATAAACATAATCTTGTGATCAATAAAAAAATAATTTTTTGATTATGGCCTTATGACTCTATTTCGTCTATTTCAAAAGTCAAGACAGTCTAAACACTTATAAAAAATATAAATTTTGTAGACCTTTTTTTTTTCCTAGGTGTTTATTACTTTTTTAACTAAATCCAGTCAATAAGTTAAAAATCAAGCTAGTGTCATAAGGGCTTAGGTACCTAAAATTGTTGTAAAAAATATTAATGACTTTCCGGGAATTCTATTTTATAACGTTTTATATTAGGGTATTCTAAGCTCTCCTATTTGTCCTTACATTAATTTCCTTTTATGTGGTTTCGTGTGAAGAAACAACATGAAAATGTCGTGGCCAAAGGACCTTTTGAGTTTTGGCTTTATTCACAATGTGGCACTGTGTCTGCCACTTGTTTATTTGCCTTTTTAATGGGACGCGCTTGGCGTGTTTTTATTTCAGGCTTGCAACACGCGGCGCATACGCAATATCGATGCCTCAAATTAGGCTATGAAATTTGTGTGCGGAGGTAATGAAAACTATGCCAGCCACTCATTCAGTCAGACATTCGAGCCTCAAAAAAACCAAAGCAGTACTTTTGTCAAATCATCCAGGGAGTAGCCAGAAAAAATGAAAAAAAAAATCGAAACGGGGGCAATATTCGAGGCTCGAAACGAAACCGAAACAAACTCAATTGGGCATGGACGGTGTGTCCAAGTTTTCGGTTTTATTTTCATTTTCATTTGCCAAACGGGGCCACTTGAATGCGCAATGAAGCTCGGCGGTTGGAGTTGGAATGAAAAAACACCACCAGGATTCAAAGGACAGAGAAGTGCGAAAGGTCCTTCGGCGAAACTTTTTACATTTTTTGCATAAATTCAGCGACGCCATCCGTTTTGTTTTGGCTGCACAATTTAAGCGATTTCCGTGAATATCGCTGGAGATTTGTTGCCGCCGAAATCTGCAGGCGAAAGCTGCTCAAAATTCATAAAACGAAGGGATGGCGGCGAAATGGAAATGGCCGGAAAAGTGGTGGGAAAGCGCGGGGAAAGTGCAACAGCCGCACTCGAGCTTATTGTTGACATTTAGCGCCGGCAGCTCGCCATTCCGCCCACGGAAATCTCCCTACCAACCGCAATCCTAGTGTTAATTAAGCCGGACCGGCAGCATAAAGTTGTTAAGTTTTTGTCAAGCCCCGTTGTTTCTGTTGTTGTTTCAGCCGCTGGCGGCGGCTTAATTATTTTCATAAAAATTTTCCACATTTTCCCCATTTTCCGGCCGCGCTTCCGACTCGTTCTGCAACTTTGTGTCGAGAGCTGTTGGCTTCTCTGGTCATCTCATTAAATTATATCAATTAATTTTCATTAATTTTTACAGTTTTTACATCCTTTACCTCATTGTTTTTTTACGTGTCATTTGTACTAACAGGTCATTGAAAATTGTAATGGTCGGACAATTATTAATATGCATATAAAATTCCATTGCAAAATGGTATTTTTTCTGTCATAATAGCTTTAAATTATGAGATTTTCTTTTGCTGCTTTTAAAGATTTAATTTCACATTGAAAATGAGTTTTAGTGAATGCAAACTTTGAGATTGTCACTGGAGATCTTAATTGGTCTGCAATAATTATGGTTTTATTTGCTCTGATTAGCATTTAAACATATGTATAGGTGAAATATATCTCAAAGATTTTCATACATTAAATTGTATTTACTAATCATTAGATATACATTTTGTGCTTTCCCAATCTTTTTTATTTTTATTAGCTCGGCTTTATTTACGTCAGCACGCACTAATAATTAAATTAGCTTCTCGTCTCTGACAACTTTATTAATTGGACAAAAAGTATCTTTTAAAAATAATAATAATAATTAAAGCTCAGCCTAATTACTCACGCTTTATAAATTGTTTAATTGCGTTAATATAAGTACATTAAATAATTACTCTCATTCACATAATGCCACACATATAAGTATTGGCTTCAATATCAATGTGAAACGTTTAATTTAAAAGTTTTAAATGATTGTTTTAGTTTCACCCATTTTTACTTTTTCAGCAAATTAAAAAAAATAAAACAGAAGCCAACGGAGAAGATTTGGTTTTGCATATGATGACAAATCTGCGCTTTTTTCGGCTTTTGTTTTTCTAAGCCTCGAAGAGAGCTCATATGTGAACATTAAATACGTATGAATTTTTGTTTGCCAATCCGCTTTTTGTCTTTTTATTTTTTTGCTGTTGTTTCTGGCTCAACGGGGTATTTCTAGTTTCATTTGTTTATGCGCTGTTTTTGCTATGGGATTTTTTCTGTCATGGGAAACAAGCTTAGATTATAAAAAGTGATATTAAAAGCGTATTTAATAGGATTGCTGTTAAAGAAATGATTAAATCATGCTTCCCTTTTCTAAAATCACAGAACCAACTAAACAGTTTGATTTAATAAATCAATTTTTGGAACATTTTTCATGCGCAAGTTCTTTGCATATATAGAATAGATCTAAATATATCCAAAAGATACATATACTCGTATGTGTATAGAGAACGTGGAGCAATTTAAACGGCCTAGATTTCTTGGACTGCTGGTTGAACATGCATTCGGACATACATATGCTTTTAGCATTCACAAATTCTCAGCAATGTGTAGAGAAATCTATTTTTCAATTATGCGAACAATTCAATTTTCATACCTCTAAAATCCCCTTCAGTCTAATAATGCAATGTATTATCAGCTGCCTTATCTGTGCTCTTAGTTTGCACTGAATCTACATTATCTGAATTGCTTGTTTGGGGTTTCTTGACCTTTTTTTTTAAATAAAACTAATCAAGTTCCATTTTCTCACGAACTTCTTGGGACTATCTCAAGCTCTGCTTGTTGATTGCTTCAATTTGCTGTTAAAATATTTGTTCTCGCCTACTTGTTTATTTACTTGTCTGCCCGATTTTGACACTCTTGTGTAAACAAGCAAAAACTTTGACCAAGGTTAGTGACAAATTAACACGGACAATTATGTAGAAAATTGTGGGAGAAACAAGTGGTTTGCATAGAGTATGTATTTAAATTTAATTGTAGTAAATGAATTAATTTCAACAATTTTGAGGGGCTTGGTTGTTTTAAATGTATTACTCATTGCCTTGAATTTGCATTAATTTTTTCACTTATCTCTTTTTTTACCATTTACCATTGTTTCCGTTGCTGTCAATTTTTTTTGCATTTCACATTGTTAGGTAAAAAATGTGCATTAAGATTGAATTTACGATAGTACAGATGACATTTTTCATTATTTTATTTCAATTTATTTTACTCATAAGCCACAGATTTTATGGTTTTATTATCCGCCTATTTGGTTTCAAAATTCAATCACATCTAGTACGTAATTCCTTCCACATCACACACTCCTTTGATCACTTCTTGCGGCTTTTCTTCAGCTCCGCTGAGCACTCACAGAAAACACCCAAAGTTTTTCCAATTAGTTTAATGCATCATTTTGTCATTTCGGCAGCCAGCCAAGTATGCTCCACATATTATATTCATAAATGCACAGCATATATATTCTGTTTGGACAAGTGCAAGCCAAGATTCTAACCACTTCATAACACTGCGGACAAAATGTCTTCGCTAGCATTTGATATTTGTTCTTTTATTTTTTGTTGTTTTGTTTTATAAACAAGAAATGCTGCAACACAAATGCCGAGGAAATATTTTGCTGCCAAAGTTTATTTTACTTCTGGCTTTGTTTTCATTTTATATTTTCATTTTTCTTCAGTTGGCTTTCGCTATTTTGTGGCGTAGACAAAACGGCGGCGAGCACGTTTCCGGTTGCGAATGCCACCGGAATTATAACAAGTTGTAAATGAAAGGCACAATTTGATTACAGCCGATGTCAGACGTCAAAATGAGAATTGCAGAACTAGTTAATTTGAATGGAAACCCAATGGGGGAGGGCAGAATATAAACAAATTTCGAAGCGGAGACAGCTAGTTATAATTATAAGATATAGGAAAAAATATTTTTTAATTTCCTAGAACCACTTTAATGTATTTAAAAAGTTCACTTATTTGTTTTGAAACAAAAAAGAATTATCTTTTATAATTAAAATTTGTTTTTAAGCAATTATATACATTTTTCAAAATTCAATCACTTTATTATTTTTTTAAAAAGTACAAAAATTAATTGAAAAAATTGTTATGTAAATAATATTTAATTAACTGAGCAGTTAAATATTTATATTATAAAAAAAAAAACAAAGTAAATTATTTTTTTTAGTAAAAAATAAATTCTATTTTCTTTACATTTTTAATCTTTTTTTTAATTCCTGATAAAACTTTTTATATGTTAAGATACATTTTTTAAGAACCTAATATTGCTTTAAATATCTTCTGTGTTTTTTGCTTTGCTTTTGCAAAAATGACGCAGACAATAAAAAAGCTTTATTCAAAATTAAACTCCATTGAAATGTATCTCCGTTTCGCACTGTCTCCGGATCGAAAAGTATCTTTATCTCCATCTTCGCCCCTTACGAATTGACTTTGGGCACGCGAGCGTCACTTACGTTTGTTCCCACTCGAAAAATGCGACGTAAACTGGATTTCAAACGCAACCTTCTGGGTATCCGCAACCGTTACCGTTACCGTAACCGAACCGGGCGACTGACAAGCGGCAACTGAACTCAACCGCAGCTGGAGAATCGTCGCCAGGCGAAAAGCACTCGGAGTGAGTGCGAAAGGCCAGTGGAATGAGTGTAAACAGCCGATTGCCGGCGAAAGAGCGGAGCAAAACAAAGCCGCCGTTGAGTGAGTTTTTGCCTCATGAGATGGAGAGAGGAGAGAGAAGAGAGCAGAGTCAACAGGTTGCTCAGCTGGTCACTTAACCTCGTTACGCCCGTTATTCCTCTGTGGGTCACACGGGGCGTATGTGCAATATGGCTCACTCGGTGCGTATGTGTAATGTGTTTGGCTCAAGTTTGCCGACAAATCGCCGACAAATTGTTTGGGCATACATACGCACATAGATGCTGGCACTTGGATTACCAGTTGGTCTCGTCTTTTTAGCCCTGGCTGCGGCCTGTCACAGTGCGTATACGTAATTTTGGCCTGCCTTTGCGGCCAAACGATTTTTGCCAATGTGTGCGTTGCTGTTCTGTTTACTTTCTGAGTGCAAAGTTTGGACATAACTTTGTGCTTTTATGAACATTTTCGGGCTCTTTGGTTCAAGGAGTTGGGAAGCAGAGGCTGTCTTCTTCCAAGCGCCTTAATTAAATATTAATACGATTTTTCTCGATAGGAAAACATATGAAATATTGCTATGAAAAAGTTGTTGGCTATGAAAAACGTTTTTTTGTGAGTAAATACGTCTTTGGAGAAAAAAATTTTTAAGACTTATTCTTATTCATTTCACATGAAGTGTTTTAGATTTTATTTATGCATTTTTTGGTGCTTTTTGAGGGTTTAAATTCTTAGAAAGTTATGTTCCAGATTATATTAAATGAATGGAAAAAAACAGGGACCGTAAATACGTGTTATTTGTGATTTTTATTAAAAAAATTATTCCGCGAAAAATTACAAAAATCTCTTATTTACGGACACATGGAACCATTTTCATTAATTTATTTGTTTCATAAGAAGATAACATTTCAAAGGAAATTATTTTTTTTTAATTCACCATGCAAATTTAATGGAATCGATAAAAAATATAACATTTGTAGTCCTGAACACTGGCTTACTCCAAAACAATATGGGAATCGGCAAAGGACTAAATTCTTTCCATGTCAATCAAGTTCGAGCCAGGTATATTAGGTTGAGAATTCTCCACAGCATCTAATGGTTTTGGTCCAGCTAAAGGCTCAGTTATATCAATGCTGTCTAGTGAGGAGTTTGGAGCCATTTCGGGAACATCCTTTACAATATCAAGAGCCTGTAGGACTGGCTCATCAGTTGCAGGATCCGCCTCAATGAACATTTGGGAGACAATTTTGGGATTTAATTTGGCTTCCACACCGAATTCATCAACGACTATACACAAAATGCTCAGGAGCAATTGACAAGACTTGTTTTCATAATCCGCATCTCTGCGTATATTGTTGAGGGCATTATGGATAGTTTCCTTCATTTTCTGCAGCTCCTGATTCATGTTCTCGATATTGGCCAGAGTCCTTCGGGAATTTGCCAGGGAAATGGCGATGCGACGACCCAGATCCTCGTGCTCCCGTCGCATATTGGTGGCATTTTCCCGGAGACAACCGAGGAAAATGGAGCGTACGGCAACACTCCTACCCATGTTCATTTTAAAAGAGTTTAAAATATACGAATTTTATTTAAATTTATTTTACGAGTATATGTATTGTATATCTGATGGGTTTCAAGCTGGTGACAGTACTGGGAAATTATCCAGAGACTTTCAAAGGGGTGAGTGGATGGGGAATGGGTGGCCTGCTTGGGTTGGGCCACAATTAGATGATTGACATCAATTACAATAATTATCCGAGTAAGCCGATTAGTAGACTAATGAATTATACATTATGGGAATCTGGCGCCCCAACCTGGAGGCGACAAATCAATGTCACGAAAAACATATAATTATCATTATTATCCGTCCAAAAGCTTCGCACCCCTAACATGAACCTAACTTTTATATTAGATTTTTCTTCCTGTTCGGTGTTGCATTCATAATTGATTGTCCTGTGGGCAAACGTGTCCTTTGCCTTCGTCCCCTGGCAGGATAAGCACTTAAGCTAAATGAAGGCAGATGGCTTAATTTTCATTTTAGTTGCTGGCAAAGGGATTCCTAAGCCGATCTGGCAATCTCTTTATCTTCATCCTTTCTGTTGAATTTTTAAATGTGCGAACTTGAGTGAAAAAATGCTTGGTAATTGGTCAAAGCCCTTGATTCCGGCAAAGAGCAGGGGACTTCATTTTTAATGAGAAGCAAATACGTTCTGTCCTAATTGGATTAATTGCCAATCCTGCGGGCTCTGGACGGCTTGCGGTCTAGGTCAAAGTCAATATGATAAGGGACTGCTTTGACTGTGAAACTTTTGCTTTGTTAGCCATAGAAAGGTAAAGTTCAGAAATGGATTACAAGAGGAAATCAGAAGGCTTAAGAGCAATGGGATGAACTAAGCAACTTATGGAGGTTCGAAAATATTAATTAGTTGTTTAATTCCATATTTGTATTAAGCCATTTTTTATTGTTTTATTGATTTATTTAAATATTTTCTTTTGCTTTATTCCATAAATTACTTTAAAACTAAACGCACTTTTTTAATTGATTGAAGTAAAGTATGTATTTCAGACAAAGTGCTGACAAATTAATTTTTAGCTCATTAAAGTTCCACAAAGAATGGCTTAAATATTTAATTGAGGATTAAAATACGCATTGTATCGCCTGAAAATAAAAAATGGTTTGAATGCCATTTTGTGGGTAATGAGCAAATCCCATTTAATGTAGAAACTTTTGACTAAGTAAAAATAATTGTTATTTCCACAAGTCAGTTCCAAAATTATTAAATCAATTTAAATTATTTGAAATAGACCGCAAATCACATTTAACTACTAGGATAATTAAAACGAGCACAAACAGAATTCAAACTGAAATCTCCAAAGGCATCAGTTTAATTTTCCTTCCGTTTCCTCCGACCGGAAAAAGCTTTTCCTCAGCTGTCAACTGGTAAATGCCGAATTCTATCAATTTGCCATTCAATCATTGCACTGACGTTGCTAAGCCGACTATGCAAATTGAAGTCAAGAGGAATTAAGTCCAATCCCAAAACTAAAACGCTACTCCATGACACAATTGTCAGGGTTTTATCGGCTTATTCCCATGCATGAGTGCAGACACTCTCATGCCCACACAAATACAGTGCTCTTATCGCAAAGGAAAAAGCTTTGCCAATTTTCCTATTATTTTTCTATGACAAAGTCTCTGAACTGCATAGACACCTACATATATCCCGAAATCGTATCAAAAAAGACAGAGATTTGGTAAAAGGAAGTGTATTCACAGTATAAATTATCTTAAAGTCTTGAATTACCCGAAGCTTTATCTTATAGTAATGTACAGGATATTTAAAGTCCAAATTTGTTTCCTAAAGTTCTTCGGTAATATTATTAAAATAAAAAATCAGTCTTTAATTATGTAAATTATGTAAAAAAAAATTTTTTTTATTTATTTATAAGCAAAATTTAAATTAATATTTAAAAATTTGTTTGATTATATATTATTTTTGTTTAGTATTATTTTTCTTTGTGTGTTTGTCTGCAAAAAAATAAACCATATTTTCTTTTCATAACCAAAAAGCTTTAAATGAAAATAAACTTAATTTGCCATAAATATATTCTGAGCTTTGCTCTTTCTTCTTAAAATGCGAAAGGCAAAGTTCACGTCTTGAAATATGTTGCACATATTGATAGTAAAATACATTTTAAGAAAAAAATAAGAAATAATTGAAATCAGCTTGATTGATTGGCTGAAGTATATCAGTTAACTAAGGTTCTGGCACCCCAGAGTTTTACTCCCCAACCCCTTTTTCTCGGGTCTTGTGGAAATTGATGTGCGGTTGAAAGGTGATTTATTGGGGGATAAAAAAGGCAAGCGACTCTTTATTTCTCTGTCTGTGTTTGCTTATCAAGTTTCGGCAAGGTCGGCGACACATATTTTGTTGAATTTTATGTTGTAATTCAATCAAGGCAACCTTTTTCAGAATTTCCACCATAATTGATGATGAATACAAAGAACTAAATGTTAAAGGTTGCAGAAGTATAGGTTGAGATGGGTCAACAGAAAAGATGACAGTTTATTGTATATTGAATTGAATTGAAATCTGAAAAAATTAATCTGCCAAAGAAGGAAACCCTAAAAATGTAGAGTAAATAACAAATGGGGATTCCACATATTTACATTTTGAGTAAATAAATCTATATGAACTTAATAAATATAATATATATACATTTATGACAATCAATACCTTTTCATCATCGATACTTAATCACTCCTTGGAAATATCAGTTCAAGTTGAAAAAACTCACCTAAAAAGAAAAAAGAAAATAAAAGTCAATGAGAAAATAAAATCATTTTGTTTACTTCTATTTACTGCCATAAAACTTGATGCTATAAGCCATTTGACAGCTTAAATGGGATTGAATAACATCAAAAGAAAATTGAACGAAGGAGCATTTTTGTAGAAGATTTCACAATTGACTGCGCATTTTTTATTAATTTTTTTTCCCAGAGTGAAACGAAGAGGTATGGCTTGGGTAGTAAGTAAGAATGCTTTCGATATTTTAAAGATTGCCTTGAACTTTTTCTCATTATTCTAGCTATTAACTATCAGTCGACGGGCTTGAGCGACTCTTGCCAATTTCCCGAAGCCGTTCGACTCAACTATGCCAACTACTTAAGAAAGTTTCGGTCTTATGCTTTCCTTTGGGCTATAACACCTATCATTTGCATCTGTCTTGACACCCACCTTGCAAGTTCCCCGATTTTCCCTAGATTTTCCTGTGAAATTTCCCGTCCAACTACCGCAAGTCAGAAGCGAAAAGTTCGATTGCATTTTTGGCAGTACTGCCTGCCGTCGCATGTGGCACGTTTCTTCCGGTGGCTTTGGCCTGCCACCGCATCACGCATACGCCACGTTGACTAATTAAACTAATCTCCGCGCTCGATGGCTGGGCAAACACCTTGAGCTGAAATTATTCGAAATCCCCCAGCATCCGAGCATAGGACAAAAATTTATGTACATATATATTTCACTTTATTTCTGTGGTACAACTTTTGCTGTGATTTCAGTTTTCTGGTTCTCTCTCATTTTTCCCGCTTTTCCGCTTAGCAATTTAATTTTTGTGCTTCCCTTTCTATATTTTTTTTGTTGGCCTTCCCGCCGTGTTTGCGTAGCTGAAATTGTTTTCCATTTCAGGTTTTTCCGCCCGCCCGCGGTGGCCAAAAAATGGGGAAAGGGGGGAAACCCGAGGGGTTGCCTTGGAAGCAGGATGTTGGATTCTAGATGGTCGGGAGTCGCAGTTCTGACTCCCTGTGGGGTATCCATTTCAAGTGGCACTGTAGCCACAACCTGTGCGATGATAACAAGTAAATGCTGCTCAGGGCATTGCGAATTGCATTGGGTTTCCCACAAATTTATGTTGCTTCTTTTTGGGTATGCTTAAAAGTTGGAATGAGTCTGGTGACAGCATAGGTAATCCGGCGCTCCGGGTGAATTCTGGGACATTCTTTAATGATAAGGTATCTTTGCCTAAATTATTTCGCAATATATTTTGTTTTGTGGACGTAGGAAAATGTTTTATACCTCTTTATTGCCTGCACTTCTTTAATTTTCCAAAATAGAAAGGTTTGTTTTAGCCTTAAAATAAAGCTTAGATTTAGATATGCAAGAAATTAGGAATCAAGCTAAAGCCTCAAGTCAATTTCTTGGCAAGTTAATGTGGTTTTTAATCAATTCTTAATATTTTTTATTAATTTTCTTTCTGAAAGTTCTGAACTCCTCCTCGGTGTTTAATAAGCAAAGCATGCAAATTGATTGTTGGTCTTTGCTTTTCGTTAACTAATAGTCCTCTCTTTGCCCAGTTAGTTGAACTTGGCAGACCGTCGATACAAGTACGTAGACCGCAGCAAACGTGACGAAAATGAAACCAAAGGTGAGTTCAATGCATCCCAGAGCCAAGATGTGTTCATTCAACATTACGAATGTCATGCACAGGTATCGATTGCGTCACTTCTACCATTGCTATCTGCAATTACGGCATTGAAGAACCAACTAAACACCTATAACTACGGAAGAAATTCTATACAAATGAGAGCATCTCCGATTAATAATGAGTGCAAATACTTCAACAAGCTTATTTCCAGGTGGGTGGATGAGCAGAAAAACCTAAATGCCCAATTGATGAAATTGCAGACAGATATGGATATGATACTAAACTCCTACAATAGAACGTCGTGTCTAAAGAAGTTATGCTTCTATAAAGAAAACGCCCTTCAAATAATTACTGATAATATCAATGAATTGGATGAGGGCAAAAGAACAAAAGTTGGGCGGTTTAGGCCCAGCGAAGAATTGGGAAAGACTCTGGAAGAACTTGTATCCAAGATCAAAAGGGTCGTCGCCAAGGCCTTCAACACTTGTTGTGAACACTTACGAGAGACAATTCAGAAGATCAAAGATGATATGGAAGAAAAGGTGCAGGATCTCTCCGGAAAAATAACAGAGGTGAAAAAGAAAGAAGCTCTCCAGAAAAATCTAAAAAAACTGGAGGATCAAATAGAAGACCTTAAATCACGCTTGGAAAAGTTGCAAGAGGAATTTGGTGACAAAGATGTAAGTACCAAATGTTGTTCAGAATTAAAAGGACAAATTGTTGATTTGGACAATAAGATAAGCACTGCCGAAACTACGGTAAATGAACAAACCAAAAAGCTAGAGAATCAGCTCAAAGAGCTAAAGGATCATCAACAGGATCACGAAAGAAAGACAACCGCTCTCAAAAAAATAATAAAAAACAGTGGAAATGATAAAAATATTCTAGGCAAGTACATAAAGAATTGTGGAACTGAAAACGTTTCTGAAGACAAGCACTTAGAAAAAGGTTACCTTCTTGACTTGGAAATAAGGACGGAAACCTTACAGATGCTCGTTCAAAACCTATCCAGTAAGTTAGGCGAATTGGAAATGCAGGAATCTCCAACGAAGTTAAGAATAAGCCTTCAGACCTGCTTGGAAAATAGCGAAAAGCTTGCTAGAATTCTTTCTCAACTTGAAGAAATTCTAAAACTAAAAAATACAGCTTGTGCTAAGCCAACTCCAGAAATTTCGGAAGCTGGTAATGAAAATTGTTCCTCTGATGAAAAGATAAAAAAACGCATTGAAGAACTTCAAAAGGAAAATGGGGTTCTTAGTGATGAGCTGAAAAAATTCCCTAACTGCTGCCAAAAAATTGATGAGCTTACCCTGCAAGCTGATCAGTTGTATCTTATGCTAAAGAGCATGAAACAAACCTACAATGATCACGTTAAAACTAACGCAAATCAATTAAAGGCCCTAAAAGATACTCTAGATGAAACACTGAAGAGGTTGGGAAGCATTAATCAATTGGAGGATAACAAAGGTCTTCCTGAGCAAGTAAAAAACCTCGAAAGAAAGATAAACAAAGCCAATTTAAATTTAGAAACACTGAAGGACCGACAAGATAAATTTGCAAAGCTTTTGGAGAGTACAAAATATCCAATATCGTCTCGTAATGCGTTGGAGAAACTTAAAGAAGCTTTCAACGAGTTTCGAAAAAAAGTTTATAAGCAATTAACAGATTTCAAACAAGAAAAGTTAAGTGAACAATCAGCTGAGGTCAAGGCCCGCGAAAAACATATAGAAAATCTTAACGACATTACTCGTCAAAATCTAAATAAACTAAAAGAAACACTTCAGCGCCACGACGATTTAGAAAAGAAGGTCAAAGATAAGATTGAAAATATGAAAGTGCCATCAAGTCTAATGACTGTATGCCAAAAAAAGTGCAAAGGGATTGGGCAAATGAATGATCTTGTGAATCAAATTGAAGACGCAGAGAAGGTGGCTAAGATAATTAAACGCATACCGAAGCCAAAACCAAAGCCAAAACCAAAGCCAAAACCAAAGCCAAAACCAAAACCAAAACCAAACCCCAAACCAAAACCAAATCCAAAACCTAAGCCGAAACCGAAACCGACGCAGAAACCAAAACCAAAGCCCAAGCCCACAGATTTGGCGGTTATGATAGGTGGCGTCGATTATACCACTTCTAGGTTTATCCGATAATACAAAAATTTGTAAATTAAAACCGCTGTTTCTGTTTTCACAGTTTAATTTGGACTTTATAATTCTAGAGTCTAGAGAAGGACCCATTTAATCTTAAAAGATATAAATCAATTTTTTCGTTTTATACTTCAAAGCAAATAAAAAAATGTTTAAATAGCAATTTTGTACTTAATAATTTGTAAAATACTAGCTTTGCCCTTCAAAACTCTAAACGTTATTTAGTCTCAAAACAAAAATTTTTTTTCGTCTCAATCGGGATTGAATAAATTCGAACATGAAAATGGGTTTAAAATTGGACCCCCGTTTAAAGGTTGTATTTAATGTAGAATATTAGAGAATTCCACCACAAATTTATAGAGGTATCCCACTTTAAAATCGAGACCCAATTACTCAAGTTATGGAATCTAGAAGTGTAGTTTTGGGGTCCCATTCGGAAACCCATTGGAAATACGGAAAAATCGAACATGAAAATGAGGTAAAATTGTGACCCTCGTTTAGAAGTAATATTTTAATGTTGAACATTAGAGAATCCCACCACAAACTCATAGAGGTACCCCACTTCAAAATCGGACAAAAGTAACTTAAGTTATGGAATCTAGAAGTGCAGTTTTGGGGTCCCATTCTGAAACCCATTGGAAAGTACGGAAAAATCGAACATAAAAATGGGTTAAAATTTGGACCCTCGTTTAGAAGTAATATTTGAATGTCGAACATTACAGAAATCCACCACAAACTCATAGAGGTATCCCACTTCAAAATCGGAATCAAATTACTCAAGTTATGGAATCTAGAAGTGCAGTTTTGGGGTCCCATTCTGAAACCCATTGGAAATACGGAAAAATCGAACATGAAAATGGGTTAAAATTTGGACCCTCGTTTAGAAGTAATATTTAAATGCAGACTATTAGAGAATTCCTCCACAAACTCATAGAGGCATCCCACTTCAAAATCGAACAAAAGTAGCTTAAGTTATGGAATCTAGAAATGCAGTTTTGGGGTCCCATTCTGAAACCCATTGGAAATACGGAAAAATCGAACATGAAAATGAGGTAAAATTGTGACCCTCGTTTAGAAGTAATATTTTAATGTTGAACATTAGAGAATCCCACCACAAACTCATAGAGGTATCCCACTTCAAAATCGGAATCAAATTACTCAAGTTATGGAATCTAGAAGTGCAGTTTTGGGGTCCCATTCTGAAACCCATTGGAAATACGGAAAAATCGAACATGAAAATGGGTTAAAATTTGAACCATCCTTTAGAAGTAATATTTTAATGTAGACCGTTAGAGAATCCCTCCACAAACTCATAGAGGTATCCCACTTCAAAATCGGAAAAAAGTAACTCAAGTTATGGAATCTAGAAGTGCAGTTTTGAGGTCCCATTCTGAAACCCATTGGAAATACGAAAAAGTCGAACATGAAAATGGGTTAAAATTTGGACCCTCGTTTAGAAGTAATATTTTAATGTAGAGTATTAGAGAACTCCTCCACAAACTCTTAGAGGTATCCCACGTCAAAATCGGACAAAGTAACTCAAGTTATGGAATCTAGAAATGCAGTTTTGGGGTCCCATTCTGAAACCCATTGGAAATTCGAAAAAAACGAACATGAAAATGGGTTAAAACTTGAACCCTCGTTTAGAAGTAATATTTTAATGTAGAGTATTAGAGAACTCCTCCACAAACTCTTAGAGGTATCCCACATCAAAATCGGACTACAATAACTAAAGTTATGGAATCTAGAAGTGCAGTTTTCGGGTCCCATTCTGAAACCCATTGGAAATACGGAAAAGTCGAACATGAAAATAGGTTAAAATTTGAACCCTCGTTTAGAAGTATTATTTTAATGTAGACCATTAGAGAATTTCTCAACAAACTCATAGAGGTATCCCACTTCAAAATCGGACTACAACAACTAAAGTTATGGAATCTAGAAGTGCAGTTTTCGGGTCCCATTCTGAAACCCATTGGAAATACGGAAAAATCGAACATGAAAATGGGTTCAAATTTGGACCCTCGTTTAGAAGTAATATTTTAATGTAGAGTATTAGAGAACTCCTCCAAAAACTCATAGAGGTATCCCACATCAAAATCGGACTACAACAACTAAAGTTATGGAATCTAGAAGTGCAGGTTTTGGTCGGGTTCTGAAATCCACTGGAAACCCGGAATATTCGAACATGAAAATGGGTTAAAATTTGGACCCTCGTTGAGAAGTAATGTTTTAATGTAGACCATTAGAGAATTCCTCCACAAACTCATAGAGGTATGTCACTTCAAAATCGGACTACAATAACTAAAGTTATGAAATCTAGAAATGCAGTTTTGGGGTCCCATTCTGAAACCCATTGGAAATACGGAAAAGTCGAACATGAAAATAGGTTAAAATTTGAACCCTCGTTTAGAAGTAATATTTTAATGTAGACCATTAGAGAATTTCTCAACAAACTCATAGAGGTATCCCACTTCAAAATCGGACTACAACAACTAAAGTTATGGAATCTAGAAGTGCAGTTTTCGGGTCCCATACTGGAAGCTTAAAAATTCTGAAACCGCCCTCGCTGGTTAATAAGCACAGCATGCAAATCAATTGGTGGTCTGCTCTTTGGTAAAGGTAACTAATAGTTCTCTCTCTTTGCGCAGTTAGTTGAACTGGGCTGACCGTCGATTGAAGTTCGTGAACCGCAGCAAACGTGACGAAAATGGAACCAAAGGTGAGTTCAATGGATTCGACAGTCAGAATGTGTTCATTCAACAATGCGAATGTCATGCACAGGTATCGATTGCGTCACTACTACTACTGCTATCTGCAATTAAGGCGGTGGAGAACCAACCAAACACCGGAAGTCTTTCCAATCAAAAAAGAACACCTTCGAGTAATGAGCACTGCGAAGACTACAACGATATTTCCAGTTGGATGAAAGAGCAGTTGAATCTTAATTCCCGATTGAGACACTTTCAGAGAGATCTGGATTTTATTCTTAGTTCCCTTAATAGAACGACTTCTCCAAAGATGTGCTACTTCTATGAGGAAGACACCCTAAAATTAGTCATTGATCAACTTAATGCAATCCAAAAAGGCAGTGGAAACCAAACAGGACAGCTTGAGTCCAACCTGGACCTGGAAAGTAGCCTAGAAATTATTTTACCACAGATAAGAAATTTATTACCGAAGGGCATCCAAAGCTGCTGTGCAAATTTCGGAAAATTAATTGAAAAGATAAAAGATGATCTAGGAAAAACATTGAAGGCTCTGAAAAGAAAACTAAAAGAAGTTCGCTCAGAAAACTCCAGAGAGAACGAAGTGATTCAGAAGAAACTAAAAGACCTGGAGAATCAAATAGAAGAAACGAAACCAAGCCTAGAAAGGTTGCAAATACAAATGGGAGACAATGATGAAAACACCAAATGCTGTTCTAAACTGGAAAAAGAAATTCAGGATTTGGACAATAAGCTAAAAACGATGAAAAGTGAAGTAGGTGACAAAACTCAGAAGCTGGACAATCAGCTAAAAAAGCTAAGAGATAAACAAGGGAATGCAGATGAATTAATAAAAATTGTTAAGGAAAATATAGAAGATGGTGCTGAAAATATCAAAAATATTCTTAGCCAGTGCGACAAAAATTGTGTGAATAAAAACAGTTCCGAAGACAAAAATTTGGAAAATAAATACCTTTTTGATTTGGAAAAGAAAACTGAAAACTTACAGATGCTGGTCGAAACCCTTTTCAAGAAGTTCGGCGATTTGGACATCAAGGGATCAACCAACTTAAGTGTAACACTAAATACTTGTCTGGAAAATGGAGAAATGCTATCCAAAATTAAATCTCATCTTCAATATTTGGAAAAGCAAAAAAATGAATCATGTTTCGAGGGATCGCCTAAACAAAATTGTTCCTCTAATGAAGGGCTGAAAAAACATTTTAAAGAGCTACAAAAAGAAGGTGAAACTTTACGTAAAGATCTGAAAAAATTCGCAAAGTGCTGTGACAAAATAGACGATCTCAACCTGCAGGTTGCTAGATTGGAAAGTTTGCTTAAGGAAATGAACCAAACTTATAATGATCACCTTAAAGATAACTCAAATCAAATTGATGCCATAAGAAAAAGCATGGATGATTCTTTGAAAAAGCTGGGCACCAATAATCAACCGAAAGATATCGAAGATCTTAAGGAGCAAATAAGTGACCTCAAGAAATTGCTAGACCAAGCTAAGATCAAGTTTGAAATTTTAAAAGATCGACAAGATGGGCTTGTGAAAAAAAAGGAACTCATGGAAAATTCAACATACTCTCCAAATGAGTTGACAGGTCTGAAAAAGGATTTCGAAGTGTTCAACAAAGATGTTGACGGAAAGTTAAAGGACTTCGAACTTCTAAAGAAAAAAAAGAAGGACGCCATGCCACTACTAGAGAAATTCAAAAATGAAGTTAGTCAAGATCTGGATAAAATAAAGAAAAGTCTTTCAGGCTCTGACGACCTGGGAAAACAGGTTAAGGATCAGATTGAAGATCAAAAAAAGCAGGCGAATCTTATGCTTGATTGCAAGAATAGGTGCATGAATATTGACAAGATGGATGATCTCATAGATCGAGTCGAGGACATGGAAAAGCTTGTCAACATAAAGGTAAAAAACTAAGAAAAGGATGACATATGCATTGGTTTCATATTTTATTCTCTGTTTCTACTTGTAGAAATCAAGAACAAGACGTTGGAAACGAAAAAGTTATGTATGATTTTCTTAAAATATGATCTACTTTTAAATTTACATTTTTTGGAGCCTACTTTATATGCTTTTATTAAATAAAGTAATTTTATAGCAGATTTTCGGACATAGTTTACGAACTCCATGAGTAAGTTGTCAATTTTGTGCATACATATTATTCACTTGATATTAGTATCACATTCAATTGGAGTCTAAAGATGATGGTGATACAATCGGAATATTTGAAAATCGATGAAGCCCTGGACATCTGCTCCGCGATGGAGGATGATCTTAACGAGTGTCTGGACATGGTGATGGCCATGGACCAGAAGTACAATGAACCAGGGCGCTACGTTATATCCATGAAGCCCTTTACCAAGGACTATCCGTTGGTCTGCCGCAAGTCTACGGATATGGATACGACCTCCCAACACAGTTTCGACTCGGAACTGGAGATGCTGAGCCAACTTTACGGAGCCAGAAGTGCCCATGAACTGGACGAGTCCTATGTGGATGTTCGCTATAAGTTTATCAAGCTAAAGCGCGATTTCGAGGCCCTTTTGACCCATTGCCAGAGGATCGTCGACTGCGCAGAACGCCAGGAAAGAGTCTGTCACCGAATGCTGAAGAATTCGCGTAGCCGCAAGTATAGGTTGTGCAGACACTAGGAATGCAAATTCCTGCCAGCTATTCCATCAAACTTTTGGGGAGCGTGTGTAAATTGCAAATTGTGTCGACACTTGGCAGCTTTTATTAAAAATTACTGTCACCATTAGCCAACTTGGGGTGGAGATGTGGGGGTGACCAACTTTCTAAAACTCATTTGGCCCGACATGAAAATGAGGCAAAGTTTTTTTCATCAGAGTCTCAGTTTTTCTTGTGTCTCTGCCTCGCGACTCACAACTTTTCCCTGATGTTCAGCAGGAGGACGACTATGATGATGATGATGATGGCAGGACAGTAACAAGTCAGCTGCATGTTTATGAGCACGACAATGGGTAAATACAAATACGGACATGCGAGAGAATATGTTGGGGAAACATGAGAAATTGCCAGCGAAAAACTTGAGATAATGTAATGCAAAAATGGCCCAGGACCAGACGCAACTTTTCCATAACGCTTTGCCAACTTGGCTCCGTGCTTGTGTAACGTAATATTTGTGAGCATTATTTTATGTTTTTGTTTTATTTTTATTTTTGCCTCTTGAAAGGGGAATCCCCGCACTTCGTTAGGGGAACAAGTGGCTGGGACAAGGACCCCTGGCCGGCCAACTGGACAGCTGCAAGGACATAAAACAGTGAAGTTTTGCATATTTAAAGTAATATCAGGAGCGAAGGGGAGGCAAAAACAAACTTTTCTTTTTCATTATTATTCTTGTTCCTTTTTCTTGCTTTATTACCCCAAGGGGAATGAAGTGTGCTGCGGTCCATTGAAACGTGGCACCGGGATCAGAAGGGTTCCAAATGGGGTTCAAAAGGTGTTCATTGAGTGAATGCTGCGGTCACTCCTTGTGATGAAAAGGCCAGAGAGTCATGGTTGAAGTTGGGGGAAAATAAGAGGAATAAACTGAATACTGCAGCTTGAACCCGGAATTAGTTTAACCTAATTTAGCCAGCTTCTAATCAAGATGCCACCACAAATCGCTTCATTATTCTGATCACTCTCCAAAGTATTCGTTCCATAAATTTACGACCACCATTTCCTGCAGTTTTCTTACACCTTATATAAGTTCTCGCCCCTGCAAGGTATTTGTGGGTAATGGGGTATGTTGTATTATCAAGATACAAATGCTAAAATAAATGCTAACTAAAGGATATTTATACTTATTTAAAAAACTTCTTAACAACTTTTAAATGTACTTTCTCAAGACTCATTTTGTACTAAATTTTAAATCCCGCAAATCGGTTGCCAAGTATCTTAGTGCCGTATGCCCCGACAGTATAGTGCTGACTTGTTATTTATACACTTCTTGTGCCCAATGGAGCCAAAGCAAACATTCGCCATTAAACAGCGCTTTATGGGGCCTACATCTCTAGCACAGCCATCGATTGATATGAGTTCGAGAATTTATTAGAGCTTTAATGGCCCAACCAGCCGACCTGGCCCCAGAAAGTGGGATACTAAGAGCAGTGCTCGGCATTCGCCATTCCAAGTGCAGCAGAAGTGCTTTAAGCATACCCACTACCAATTTGCAGAGGACCCTCGAGTGCTCTCTGGCAACTTAAAATAGCTGGCCGAAATCAAAGTCGAAAATGTGCAAGAACCGCCGAATTGTTTTGCACGTTTAGCCGCAAATGGGGGCCTGGATTTCCTCTTTCAGCAACCTCATATTCGGACTATGTAAGTGTATCCGGAATAGGCATTTGTTCCATACCAACATGAGCTTGTGCAAAGTCACGGGTTTTTGGGTTGGCCAGAGCTGAAGAGCCCCTCGATTTCCCATCCTGTTTGAGTTGCCGGGGCCATTTGGAAAAGATTTGCCAAACAAGTTTGTTTAATTAAGATTTCCTGCGGGCCAGTTGATTGACTTTAAGTGCCGGGAACTAAACGAATTAATGAGACAAACTCCCAGGCGAGTCGAGATCTGCAGACAGTGTCTGGGGTAATTTCATTCAGAAGTTGAAGAGGAATGCGGGGGGTTTCGTCAGACTAAGCAAAAATTTACTAGATTAATTTAAACGAAATTCGTAAAATAATAGGAAGGGTTACTTTGTTAATAATTTTATGACAATGGTATAATTATATTATAATTATTATTTTAGTTTATGGTAAAATGTTATTATTTGTATACAAATATATTATAATAAAGAGACATCTGTCGTTGAAGTTTATTAATATTTCTCTTAAAGCTGACTTAATTATAAAGCTCTTGACCTTGTAAATTGTTTTTTGCTTGAGTAATTCAACTATCCTTTCCAGTCAACAGCTGAGCTATGCCCAAAAGGGATTCCATGTTAACTGAATTAATGACACAACCCGAGGGAAAGCCTCAAAGAGTATACAACAAACACGAAAAAAAGGAACATCTCAGAAAGGCCACAGTTCATAAATATGTAGGATAGCCCCAAAACGTGCGGAGGGAAAAACACGCTAAGCACTTCCGTATGAATAAATATTTAATCAATCAATTTCGACAATTTTCCTTTTCAGGGCTCGTCAAATGCATAAACAGAATGGATACAATTTCATTTGCCGAATGATGATGATGATGCCTTTGTTGCTGTCGTTGAGGCATAAAACAAGTCAGACACATAAAAGTAGATTTGATTGAAATGCTAATTTCCACAGATTACCAACGGGGAAAGACTATTGCGAAAAGGACTTGAGTCCAGTGCTGTCCTGTTATCCTTTTTTCAGTTATTGCATATAAATGTAATTAGATTATGGTAAATTCAGCTTAATTACAACATTAAATAAGTCCGAACCCTAGGCTTAAGGATGAATAATAGCAAAGATTAATAATAATATTATCTAAGATCGCCTGAAGTTATGAAGAAAGCGCATTTCATCTATCAGGAACCCGCATACTTAATAGAAAAACAACAAAATTATATTTCTTTTTTTACACTTTTGATCTTAATATTAAAATAAACCATTCTTATAACTCATATAATAATATTTATAATTCTTTCCGCTATTTTGGCTGACCTTTTTGGTTTGCCAACACCACCGCTCGAGCTGCTGCTAAATGGACAGTCATTGAGGAGTGTTAGTCATCACCATCATCATGAGTATCGGCATCCGCCAGAAGGCCCTGAAATATCTGTTGAGTGAGGACCCTCCTGGCCAAATGACAGGACACTTCTCAGTCGAAACCCATCAGCCGCAGCCTCAGTTTCGCTTTCGGTTTCAATTTCGGTTTCGATTTCAACGCGATTGATTTCCCATGAATGCCCGTTTTCCCCCGCCACATTTCCACTTTTCCCAGTTGCTATTATCGAAACGTTATTAGTTTGTCTGCTGCCTGTGACAGGTTACATTGAACTTGGGCTTGGGGGATTATTTTCTCCTTTCGGGTCTCCTTGGCGTTCCATATTCTAAATTGTTTTGGGGATGGGGAACAAAAAATCAGGACAAGAGTGACGAGCTTGCGTGAATTTATGGGCACAGATTCATGGTTGGCTTTTTGGATTTTGTGGCATTTTGTAATTGAATTTCATGTGAGGCTCATATTGAAATTTTAATGAATCGATGAGGGGCCGAGGGGGGATGTCTATTTGGCCAGGCTTCAAAGCTTACAGTCGGAAATTGAAAGCTGAAATTGTTCCTTTTAATTGATACTATTTCAGTTTTGTGTGTTTGTAATGAGTATAGGATTTTCAAGATAGGCTTAGAACAAATCAAAATTGTGATCTAAAAATTTAATAAATACCTTAGTACCTTAAAAATGAGTGTTTGACGTTTCCGATAGGCTAAGAACAAATTAAAATACTTTTTCAATAAATCGACTTGATTTCAAGTAACTTGCTTTTTCCTAGAAATCTTCCTTTGTATTGGGTATTGAATAAAAATCGATTGGACTTTAAGTAACATGTTTATTACTGGAGCTCTACTTTGGCTTAGCTTTATTTTATTATCTACCGACTCACATTTTTTCTGAAATTATAGACTATTATTTAAATAAATTAGCATAAAATCATTGTGTTTGTTTTAATATAATAAACAGTAGAAATTTTACATTGCCAAGCTTTGTAAATTCGTATTTCATTTTGTATCATTTCATAAATTGGTGCTATATTTCCCTTACATCCCTCTTAACCCATCGTAAAAGTTTCGAATTTATCTTGGCACTCGAGCGCAGTTTTCCTCTACCATTTTACCCACTCAGCCAGCCATTCATTCAGCCGAGTGAGTTCACTCAGTCAACTCGGTTATCACACACAGTGCGTAGTCACAACATTGAGGCAAAGTTTACTTAAGCATAAAGCCGGGAGTTGTGACAGAATGCGACTGGGAGTGACTGGGAGATACTGGGAAATGCGGGGACTGTGGACTCCGTTCCCGGCTGTGGACCATGACAAACTGCCGCAGGATTCGAGGAGCAGCTGCAACATGCCACAGTTGCACCAGTTGCAGTGATAAACGCACTGCACAATTGCTGCCTTGCCGTCGAGATTTGCCAGCTGACAAAATGCTTCTGACGTTTTTCCAAGTTAACAATAAAAATATATCATATAGTTTAACGCTGCTGCGACGGCATTTTATGGCAAATTATGTTCGGCTTTATTTCCCATTTTGTTCTCAGTTTCAGTTTCGGTTTTAGTTTTCTCAGCCAGGCTCTGTCACATACTTTTTGCCAATAAGTCGAGCGGCAGCCGACGAACTTGAAGAATGTCTTTCCTTATTTATTGCTTTTAACATATTTGTTTGGCCCCAAGGCAATCCGTCTTTGTGTGTGTATGTGGCGAAAGGCAAATGCAAATTTCAGTCTCAAATTTTCCGACTTTGTCTTTCATTTGGGGCCCCGGCAAAGTTTTCGACGAAAACAAAAGACCCTTGACAAAGTGCAGCTATTCGAAATTGCTTTGGGTATGAAATTTTTGAAGGGCGGTCAATGAAAAGTTTATTGTGCCCCGAAAAGAAGTCATAGTTTTCGGGGCTGAACGGAAGTCAGTTTGGCAATTGTGTGCGGAAAGCCCCAAATAAATTGTTAATGGCGTTGGCAAGTGGCTTACAATTTGGTGAAAAGGGTGCATTTTAGCCAAAAATTAAAAAAATATCTAAAAGTTTTGGGTTTGTTTATTATAAGGGATCAGCTAAATTACTTACTTGTTTTTTTGGAATTTACTTGGGCTCATGCTAAATCTATCAACAAATAAGAAAACAATCTGTTGTCTTTTTCGTAAATTGGAATTTAAACATTTATAGTACTGATGGATCAAACACATTTGAACAGTTTTAGCGATGGGAACACGTGTTATGTTGGAACACTGATTTACGTAAATACATTAACAATTTTTAGAAATCATAATTTGAACAATGTTCTTGTATCATTCGTCTATGCCTTCGTGGCCTGGTTCGATGTTATCAAATCTTAGTGGATTATCGCCTCCGGCCAACTTGTCGGCATTTTCGACCACTGCCGGTCCTGGAATCCGGGCCTTGAGCTTCCTCTTCATCTGGGCCATGGCGGAATTGGCCAGACTTACGCGTTTCATGATGCGGGTCAATCGCTCCTGGATGTTGGAAAACATCTGCTCAGAGAATTGGGCATCCTCCGAGGTATCCAGAGGCACCACGGCTGTATTATCGTCGGCACTATTGTTTTGTTCAAAATCACAGCTTTCAAGCTCTTTGAATTCTTCTGGTTCTTCGTCCGACATTTTGAGAAGCGAAATATTAGGATATTTTACTTGCTTTTACTAGCTTTGAAATACAACTGATTGAGGAACACTTTGTTCGGAGAATATGAAGGAAAAACCTTTTGACAACAAACTCAAGGCTATAAATCGCCAACTAAAAAATAAATAAGGGTAAATAATTGTAATAGGGGGTGCCACAAAATTTACTAGGGTCTTAAAATCACTTCTAAAGATAACTTTAGGTGTCTAAAAGTATGCAGTGAATACAGACAGCTGACTTTCTAAGTGAATTGTATTTTTGAGATTAAAATATATAGTTGCATACTGTCTGTAGACACCTAAAAATATTGATTAAAGGTAATTTCACAACAATTGCTTTTTGTTGCGGGAATATTTTGTTCATTGGCTTACACATGATTAACATCTTTACTTATAAACAGTTTGTGGAATTTAACGTCATGATTATCCTCAAAATTGAAGACCTAAGAAAATGCAAAGCCGCTCAAGGAATCATAGCCCACTTGGCATGTAATCGAGTGTGAAATGTATCCAGCAGGGTCATAAAATCAGAAATCAATTAAAGCCAGTTAAGAGTGAGCAAAGGATATGGATGTCGAGCGTCGAGCGTCGGGAGTTGCCGGGGCACAAGGCAAATAAATCTCGGAAACGACTCTGCCAAAGAGCGCACACTCTGGGTGGCAAGGATAAAAGTTGCCCCACAGCTGAATGAAGCGAACGAAATCAAAGTCTATAACTTAACGACTGCAGGGAGAATGATGTTGATGACGATGTCGACGATGCGGAACACCCTCAAGGTCCACCCCAATTCCGCCGGGCCACCCACAACCCATCGCCACTCTTCAAGGAAAATCCCTACGCAGAAAATGGAGACAAAAGCCGAAAAAGACGGAAATGCAGCATTCATTCTCTCGCCATTTTCCTTTTTCAGCAACCCCCCCCCTTTTTTTCAGCGGGTTTTTCGCCTCCATGTGCTAAATATTTGCCAGCCATTTCTTTATTTTCCTCTGGCCTTTGTCGCCAAACTGGATTCCCATCTTGATACCCATCGCTCTGCCACATCGTAATAAAGCAATAAATCTGCCGAGGAACTGCTCCTCCTTTATAATAAATTCCGTAACGCATAAAAACACTTACAAATGAGTTTTTGTTCAATGGAATAAATGGCATGTCGCTCTATACACACACTCAAATACCAAATACCAGTGTATCTATAGCTCTGAATGCATGTTCTTCACTGCACCCAGTCAGATTCACACACGCTCGACTTTCTATATCTTCTGGGATTCGCTGAATCCACTATTGATAATGCCATTTGGCATTTGCCTTGTGGCGGGGCTTTGACTTTTGCAACGTCTTTCACTTTGTGGCTTTTCCATTGAAAACTCGTTGCTCAGCTAAGTAGGCAACATTTTTCAGCTTGGCCCTGTTTATTGCTTTGTATCTATGGGCAGAGTTTAGTTGGGGATAAATTGAGTTTGGGGCATATAGATGGGGATAATCACAAGAAGATGGGCTTCTTTAGAAACTGTTACTGAAGATAGGCATAGAAAATGTATGATGATGAATAGACGTCGGTTTTATGTGAAGTCGTTTGTGTTTTTTAAACCAATTTACAGTGGCCCCTGATTAAAATACAAGGTTTTTCACAGAACAAAGATATGATTAAGCCGATAAAAATGTGGTTAAAAATAGATTTTTTAGAAAAGATATAACATAACTTCTTGAGTAGTTGAGCATAAAAGTATTTGATTAAAGACTTCATAATTACCCATATTTTTTTAATTTCTGTACATTTTAAACATTTTTAAATTTGTTTTATTTGCTTTTCCTACTTTATATAACCCACTTGCAATTTAAATGTACCATACTTAATAAAACGTCTTGCGATCCATCTTAATTAGGGAATACCCCTCTTTAATCCCGCACTCATTTCTTATGCCAAGCGAACTCATGCTGTTACCTAATCTGCTGTCCAAATCACTTGGCAACATGTTGCACACCCAACTAATTGATGATATAATTGAATGTTCTGAGACCATTTCCCAGTTCGTTATGTTCCTGTTTTGTAGCTTCACAACCCATATCCCATATCCCATATCAGGCGCAACATCTGTCAGAGCCATCACAATAAATAACCATATAGTTATAGTTGAGTTTCCTGCATTAAAATGCCATCATGCTGGAGATTAATGTGAAAAGGTCACGCCCAGCTCCTCGGGAGGTGAAAGCCATTCACTTTGGCGAGACATTGACATTTGCTGCTGGCTTTTCCTTTCCCTTTCCCATTCGCCTTTCTTTTGTTTTTGCCGCTCTGAATCTGCTGTTTCACTTCTGTGTGTTGTTGCTGCCGCGGGACGCGCCACATGAGACACGTGACAATGTCGGGGCAAACATAAATGCCGTGTGTCAACATGCAGGTCGCAAAAAGAACCAAAGTGAAAATGTCTTTTTATCAACTTTCGGAAGAGGGCCTGACAAGTACACGGAGAAAAAATATCGAAAATTGGCCATCATCTCAATACTTTTTCTGTTATATTATAATGGTCGATTTAGAATAATATACTGGGATCATACAAAAAGTCTGATTTTTCTTAGATGCATCGGTACTTTTTCTGGAACATTATAATTGAAGATTTATAATAATATTTTGGGACTATATACAAAATTTATTTATAGAAAATCACTAAGCTAAATAAAAATATTGGAATAACTAAAACAAGTTGCCAAAATGAACCAAAAAAGTTAAGTTAGGTAAGTTTTAAAATTACTCATTCTTTCTTAGCTGTTTTCGATCTAAAAAATGATATGATATTACAAATTAAAGAATAATAGTTATTTTATATGAAAAATATATAATTAAAATCTAGATTGTCTTACTGCTATGCTTATAAGTAAGATTAACAAAATTTTATAAGTGAAAGATATAACAAAAGTAATGGATCTATAACTAATATACTTTCTTCCCTGTGCAGATGTGTTCGGTGTTCTTTTTGGCTTTTCGGGGGTTTTGTGTTATTGTAGTCCTTACATTTGTCTTAATTAGGGGGGTGGCGGCCTGAGAAATAGAAGCCACTTGAAGAAATGTGCTTGGAGGGCCATCAGCTGCTGCTGGCACTTGGCACTGACTTGTCTGACTTTCTCCGGGCTTTCTCCGCTCTTCTGCTGGGGCACACGTGTGCGACCTAATGGCAACACTTTCGCATCCAGCGAGTCCTCGTATGCCGCTCATGTCTGTCTGTAATTTATATGGCTGCTTGAGTGCCACAGCTTTTCCTTTTCCCCCAAGACCCTCAACCCACCGCCATTTTTGCCTTGCAAAATTTGTTATTACGTTGAATTAAACTTGAAAAATGTGTTAATGGGCTCGTTCTGTTCTATTCACACCAACTGCGGCTGCGAGCCAGGCAACTTAATTAAATTCCACAATGATTTTGTTATTTCGCCCTGTAGCAACAAGGCATCTTCTTGCCTTGCCCAACAACTATTACCAAAGATTCCAGAACGCAGTGCACCACATGGCGTATGTGTGATATTTTTGTGCTTGGCATTTTCCTTAAACGCAGCAACTTCATACTTTCTGTTTTCCCTGCCATCCCGTTTAATTTGTTGGCCTTAATGAGCTGTGAAAAGTGTTTTGTGCGAAAATTGTTGAGTTGTGGCAGTTGAGGCAAACTGAGTGCGAAAATAATGATGATCAAGAAATAATTCTCAAGTCATGGGTGACGAAGGGAATGAACGGAATTTTATTGCAAGAAACAACAAATATTTTAAAGATTAGTTTATATACAATTACAACAATTTAATTAACGATTTAAAGGAAAAACAACAAAGTATTATTTATTTTCACTTTCCAGAAGTTCGAATGCATTTTCTTAAACTGTTTCCAATTAGCATTCACAAGGACCCATTGCAACTTAAAAGCCCTTCTGCCCAAAAATATTTTCTTATATATCATTTCATTTTTATTGAAATTTATTTGGGCTTTAACTTTTAACTGTGTCGACATGGAAATGGTTTTACTGGTAATTAAAAATAAAACCTGCAGATTTATGCAGAACGGAAGCCCAGGAGTAAAAAAAATACGCAGTAAAAACAAGAGAAAATATTCCAGTGACCAAAATGGACATTCACGCACAGAACCCAGGGAAGATTCAGTTTTCAGCAGGGTGACTTGTTGCCGGAAAAGCTTTAAGCTGTAAGCCGAGTTAACTTTAATCAGATGGCAATTACCGGGTGAGTGGAAAGGGGCTGAAATCAAGGGGATTTCCCCCTTTTTGCGTATATTGCAAGGGAATATTTTTGGCTTTAAGTTTCCATCAGCAGCTTATTGTTTTAACCTTGGGGCCAAACCACTTGTTCCAGTTAACCACTTGCCAAGCCTCAGTGGAAAAGCTGATTACCGCAAAAAGGAAGCGTGTCCTTTGGCTTATTGCATTTTTCAAGTGTGGCCAAGTGCTACAATTATTTATTGCCCAAGCCAAGGACAAGCCACAGTTCAATGATGAATGATGCTTGGTGCTTAAAGTATTTCGCAAACAGTATTTTTCACATATTAAAAAGTTGGCAATTTTCCCGCCCCGAGGTAGCCAAAAAAAAAATGTACCAAAACACAATTACACATGGGGAAAATGCGCCCAATTTGCATTTGAATTTGGTGTTCCCATTTGTTTGGTATTTGTGTTTGTGTTGTTGAAAAACTTTTCCAAAAGATGATAAAAAGGGCGTGGTTCTAGACTGGATGATCACCGTGATGATGATGCAGAAACGTGCGTTTGTGTAAATGAGCTGAAAAACTGTGGGTTTTTTGTCAGCCTTTTTCTGTTGGTTTTTGCGTAGTTTTCCTATTTTTTCGAGAGCGAGCGGCCAAGTTTTCCTTTTGTTTGTTTGCAGAGTCTAACATCAACACATGGTAATTTTTTTGCGGACTTGTTTGTTTTCCCTGTTGAACGTCATTGAATAGAAAAAGAGCCGAAAAGGAGTATTCAGGAAATGCTGATACAATTTCAGATTGTTTACCTAGCCGTCTTCTTGACGTGAAACGTTTTCCATTCTCCTGTTCTTGGGCGAGAAATTGGTTCTTCTGAAAGGGTTTGATGTTCGCTTGCTTAAGAGAAATTTCCGTATCTACAACCGTTTTCTTTAAACCATATCTTTGTCATCATTTAACACAGGCTAAACCTTGGTATTATAATAATTTGTTCTTTGAGAGTCCTCTTGCTCTCCCTAATTTGCTGTAATTCACTTTCCATTTCCACACCGCCGCCCACGAGAGGCATTTAAATTAAATTGAAAGTTTTCCGACGACGGGCGAGTCCTTGACAGATGATTTATCATCATAGTCCTGTGGAAAACTTTCATTAAGAAAATAAGAAGGAAGCAAAGGGTCTGCAGTTCCCCCGGAACCCCAGATCCCCTGATTCGAAACTACATAGTTTTCGCCAGGCGAGGCACGCACTTCCAGCTGCCCAAAACTTGTGAGTTTTTATCTTACTTTTTTCTGAGCTCTTTGTGTGCCCGTGTGAACTTTAACTTATATATACGTTCCTTTATTTTTTTTTGGTGAGCAGGATGACACTTTATCATGTCTGTGCCGGTGACCGGGTTGGTGAAAATCGGGGCCCAGCTTGCCCGGAGCGCACAAATTGAAATGTGCCAGTGTCAGTCAGGGTAAATGAGGCAAAACGCAACCGCAGACCCAGCAGGAAGTAATTGTGTGGCCCGAAGCCTACAACCAAAACTCCCTGACCCCCAACTCAGGGCCTATTAGGTCGAACAAGTCTGTATGAAAAAAAAATCACGATTTTCAACTTTTCCTTTCGGTTTCCCTGCGTTTTTTTCCGACTTTTGTGTGTCTGGGCTTGACAAATATTTAGCCAAAGTGATTTTTGACAGCATCATAATAAAGGCTGCCCCAGCGCCCAAGGAATTCTTCATGCTTCGTTTGAGCGTAATTTGCGATTGACCCGGCAGCAAGGCCCATGCGGCGTATGCGCAATTTGGTAGCAAAACAAGCCGGAGTGCCGACAATTGAATTGAAATTGCGGGTAAATTCGGGTAATGCTCTAGCGTCAAAATATTTGCCATTTTAAGCTTATAAGGTCGGGGTCAGTGAATTAATTGATTTTTACTGTGTATTATTAGGTAAAATTAGGGATACCATTTAAAGGTATCTTATATTTTGTTCAAACAATTCTTTTATCCCAATTTCTAAAAGCTCCCAATATCATAAAATAAAAGACATTTTATATATCACACAATAAATTTGGACATACATTATTTTGAGTTCAGTTAAGTTCAGTTCCTAACACATGAAAGGAGCACGTCGGAAAATCAGGTTTAGTGTAAAACTGTGTAATGAGCAAGGTGTAGAAAAATTCCAAATTTCCTATACACATAAATTTTGTTAATCGTTGTAGAAGCACAGGTTTCACTTTAGTGAACAATTGTGTAATGAGGTTTAAAAAAAGTTCACATGAATTTTGGTACTAGTGTAAGAACCTCAGAAATGAACAATTGTGTAACGAGTAAAGTGTAAGAAATTACTTTTTTAGTTTTTAAAAATTAACGTAGTCTAGTTCCCGTTTCAGGCGCAAAGTGAGCCTCAGTTTCTTCAGCTCACTGTCGTACTTCGCCTGACAACGATCCACATTCACGGGATGGGGAAGCGGTAAGCGCAGGCGGTACAAGCAGGTCGCCAGATCTATTTCCGTTTCCTGTAAGCTGAGCGACATCTTGTCCGCAGCCATTTCCTCATCCGGCAGAGAAATCTCCAGGATCAAGTCTTCACAGCTGGCCGAGGATCCAGTGCGGTTGCCCATCTACGAAAGACATAGGTTTACTTATGTTTCTAGGTATTTTATGTAACTATTATTAGACCTGCAGGAAGACGTCCTCAGTGCCCACTGCCTGACGATAGGTCATTGTATACTCCGGACTCTTCCTGGTTTCTAGTATATCGTTATCCTCACGCTCCTGCTGCTCCTGCCATTGTTCCAGACTCTCAGGCTGCTTTTTCTCCTCCTCCACCAAAGGAGTGGCCAGAGGATTGGGCTTTTTCTTTTTCTTGGTCTTGCCGGTAGAATCGGGTTCACTAGAACGACCAATTCCTCCGGGATCTACATAAATTAGGAAATGGATACAGTACCCTATTATTAATACTGAATAGTAAGACTAATGCTTTTACTTGACATACAGAATTATAATGTGCGAAAGACGGGTAAAATAATATATCTGATAGTTATAACATTTCTAAAAAGTCCCGAGCAATTTACGAATACCGGGTTCCCTAAAATTTACATAAAACAATATTTTCTTATATACGCACTCAGTTTGTGGACCACCATGGACTCCTCCTCATCTTCATCACTGCTGTAATCGATGCCGCCTCTCCTCTGATTGGGATTCAGTAGATCCTGCAGCATTTTCAGCTGGTCGGGATGCTCGAAGATCGACATTTTTACAAGGCGGGTTGAAGGCACTGAATTTATTTAACACAATATTTCTCACTCTTTTTTACACGTTATATAAATTGGGAAAATTTTTTGCTTTAGTGGAGGTTGTTCACTGCTCAGTTGGTTTCGACCGAATGAGGAAAATCTAACACTTCGTTGGTTACGTATGCTTGACAGCGATTTCCCAGGTTACTATGTTGATGATTTTGGCTTACTATACTCGAAAAAAATAGAAGTTTCTCGACATGAAGGTAGTACCAAACACGAAAGTACAATGCATATAAAATATTTATTTTCCAAGTGCAGAGTAACCTTTGAGACTGTTTATTTAGTTACCTTAGCAACGAGTTTTTAAATTTCCTGGCAAGGAGGAAGGAAGGGTTGAAGGGTCCCCAGTTACCCTATTCAAGAGCAGTTTCCCGCCGATGGCGACATTTCATTTTCAACTGGTTGGAAAACTATGGGACCCCACTTTAGGCATTTCAATTAAAAACTTGGGCGGCCCATTTAGTGGCAAACTTTTGTGCCGAAGAGCCAACTGTGCTCGAACAAAAATATTTCACTTGTCAAAAACAATTGTTTTGTGAATTATAAATTGTGTAATTATTGTTCCCGGGCTTGACCTTCCCATTCTGGTCAGGGCCAGTACAAATTATGAACAGCGAAACAGAAGAGGAATTTGCATTGCTCACGCGCCCCTCGTCGAGTGGCGAAAGGGAAACGCTAATTTGACTTTCAGGCAAAATCGGAGGGAGGTCGACACGAAAACGTGGCCGAGTTAACAACACGATTCTGGCCAACATCTCTGGCTCTGTTACAATGGCCACGACCGCAGCGGGGTACCCGGTTTCAGTTTGGCATTCGACAAAAAGGATTTTCGCCTGCGGAACAGGAGGAGTTCCGACTACGTGTTTAATTTGTGTAACACGAGCTGTCGGCGAAAGTGTCCCCGTTCTAAAGGGATTCCGCTTGTTCTGTTCTGGTTCAATGGCAACCGCTTGACAGTTCTGGCCGGGCTTAAAGCGACCACGGTCCACGGACCATGGCTTTGTCATTTGCAGCTTGGATAAACGTGGCACTAACCCAGCTTACAATCCAGTTCGCTCACGGGAATTACAGGGTGGAAAGAAGTCGCCAAAAAAAGGACACACAATTTATTCAGATCACTATTTAAATACAGTTGGAGCAGGTGGGGCGTTAAAGCCATAAAGTTGAATATAATGGTTAAAAGATTTGTTGGCTTTTCTTTTGTACAATATAAATACATTTCTTAAAACAACAACCAGTAAAACATGATTTTATTTCTTGGCATTAAATATATTTTTACCTCTTTCTGAAAACTCCTTGAATTATTTTTTATTTCTTGCGAAGGAAAATTCTTGGAAACATATAAATGTAATACAAATAATGTATAGGTATTTTACTGAAAACCCTTGAAAGATTCTAGGAAAAGTATAAATAGGAAAAATAATAAATCAAGATACTGGAAAATTTCTATTAAATTAATAAAAAGTTGTGACTGTTCTTAAAGGAAAATAATAAAAGTCCCCCTTTTAGTAAATATTTTATTTCCGCAGAATCTCTTTGAATTATTTTACCAAACAACGATGCCTTTTCCTCCGAAAATAAATCCCTTTTTTTTACAAATATATTTTCACCATTTCCCCCACCCTTCGCTGAAATGTTAAAGTAAATCCTCATTTAAATCCCATCTGATAGGGCCACTTTTATTTGTCTGCGAAACAAAAAGCCACTGAAATCTGTTTCCTCCGAAAGCAGGGCAAACATCACGTAACTGAACTTTCACCTTGGGCTCGCATTGCAATCCAACTATCACTGTCAACACAGAGAGGGTATTGGTTCGCATCGGAATGCACCCCGGGATAGGATATACGAACCCCGAACCCCTAACCCCCGGCTGACGTCACGCATCCAGACAATGAACATGAATCCATGGTGTAATTGTATTTCGCTTGTCGCACACATTTCAATGAACTGCAGATGGGGGATACAAAAAAACCCGAGCCTCTTACCAAAAAAGGCCACGCAAATTTGTGTTGACTGAATACACAAGAACGTCTGTCCCCAAAAAAAAAATAACTCGAAAACCCTCCCGAAAAACCCCCTTTATAGCCCTAAGCCCAAGGCCATTGCCAAATAGATTTTTGTTTCAGTCGCATATGGTTTGGGGGGCATGGGAAAAGGCGGCGAAAATAGGAAGGGAGGGACACCAGCTGCACCAAGGGTAAAAGTGAAAGCGTTTTCCGCATTGTGTTGGCAGCTGGGACGTGTCCTTCCGCCCGTTCCACCCATTTCTCCCCTAACCACCCCCCAAAGGAATGTGATTTGTGAGCGGCCCCTACTTCTCCCATCTTGTCTGCTGTTTTTCAGCAAGATATTATTATTTTTCGGTTGTAACATAAAATGTAATTAAGAAGGCATTAAGTAGCGTGCATAAATCATTGGGCCACATGTGCGGATGTGGGCCTGGGGTCCACCTGGCGGGAAAATGGGGAGTTGGTTTGAGTTATGCAAGCGTTGGCCAGCCGCCGGAGAAAGGAGAAAGTTGGGGCCAAGTTCCCGTCATAGATCTGGGTCTACAGATTGCATTTGCTTCTATTTTTTCTTCGGGCGACATACTGGCGCACAATTTTTGGCCATTTATTTATATATTTTTTTGGCCGTTTCATTTCGGCGAGCATAGCTGAAAAATGCTTGGCAATGCACTTAGAAGAATAGGTATTACCAAAAAGGGATTTTAAAAATGTTGTTGGATTTATATGTCTTTCAAGATTTATTCAATAAAAAATATATAAATATTACTTCTTCGTTAATATTTTTAAAGATTAATTGAAGAGCCCAACTAAATATGTAATAAATATTTTATTTTAAGTAAATGTGAATGTTTCGAATTATTAAGGTATTTGAATTTTGGTTTAGAATTTTCTCAGTGTAACTTTAAAATAAATACGCCTAGCTGAATAATTCGCTGCGGAAAAAGAACATGGCCACGAAGCCAAAATGGGAAAATGGTAAAATGGGAAAACGGGATGAACAGGATGTGCAGTCAAGCGAGTTAGGAGCAGCATAAAAATAAAACTAACATCGCAACATCTCCCCTCTCTCTCACACACACACGGCACACGGTGCGGCTAAGCAATGCCAACAAACAAACAAACACACAAACAAACACACAGAAGATAAGCCAAAAAGGCGCGCAACTTTAAGCGGCTGCGGCTTTAAAATCCACTGGACCACGAAATGGTCAGAAAAAAATATAAAAAGAAAATCCTAGGAGGACGCTGAACAAAAACGTTAAGCCGAAATTTTCGCAAGACTAAAACTAGAAGCTGAGATTTGAGCTTAGTGAAAAGCCCGGCTATAAAATCACTCACGAGAGTTAAGAGTGAAAAATGGAAAAACAGATTGGGAGTAAGAGAGAGTTTGGCAGCTTTTAGCCGGTTGTTTGTAAACAAAGCGGAGTGAAAGCTTTCCCGTCAGCTGTTCGAGGGAGAAAAATGCACAGTGGAACGGACTTAAACATTATATCATATAATGTATCATACAGAATGTATCATTATAAATATTTTTCATATTTGTAAAACGCTTTTTAAATGTATGTTTCAGAATACTTAAAAGCACAACATTTCTAGTATTTGATAATTCTAAGAAATTGTTTATTAAATATGTAACAATAATCATATGTATATTCCATATAAAATGTATCTTGTAAAATACGTTCTCTGTCTAAAGCGAATATTAAGGGAAATTTAAAGAAACTGATTAGAATATAAATTTCCCTTAAAAATACTTTTATTTTCTTTTAAAAATTACTTTACCATGAAAATCGAAAGTGAAAATGCAAATACACACCTCACAAACAGAGCGTAGCGTCCAGTAACCCCATTATAAAAGTATACCTCATTAAATAGTTATCAATCCCATTACAGCTTGACCACACCCAAGCTATTAAAACAATTATCCAATATACTAATGAAATTAAATTTAATTTAATGCAAATGAGCCGCGTCAGTGAACGAAATCGAAACCGAAAATGGAATGTTTATAGTTTTCCATGCGACAGTTCGTGCCGAGAGCGAACCAATTTCGGAAACGAATCAAAGTTTGATAAAGTCGCGTAACTGTAGTATTAAAGACGTGATCGGAATATCAGAAATCAGCTGACAGCGACATCAAAATGCAAAGCAGTTAATGTAAGCTTTCTTTTGAAGCTATTTAATAATGAGTAGGTATAGGCAACTTCTGAACTTTGGAAACGATACAAGCCTTCTCATAGAGGCACACAAATATATTATAATTATCACATATGTTGTAAATAAATTCCAGGCTTTCGGGGAAAAACCTTTTCCGTTTTTACCATAAAATTATTTCAGTAGACTTTTGACAATGCATACAATGGGGAACAAATAAGTTACATAGATAATACGTTTTTAGATTTTTATAGTATAAGGTAATAAATTTGTTTTTGGTATAGTATAAGGTAATAGATTTGTTAAATAATATAAGAAGATCAATATACCAATTTGTATAATAGGCTGGGAGTATTCTAACACGATTATAACATTCTATGATTATAAATATTTTAGATTGAAACTCAATTCAATTTGCACAATTCTAATAGAGATTTTACTCTATTTTTTATATCCAAAAATAAAACATCACTTTTGAATAAAAATGTCTTGGATGCTTTCTTATATACCAAAAAGTAATTTCTGTTTCTAAAATGCAATGAAAAATAAGAAGGACCACTCACCTTTTTTCTGGCTGCCCTGCGTCGCTGGTCCGAAGTTTTCCTCTGCCATTTGCGACGTTCCGCCTCATTTGCGAAGAGGTCCTCCACACTACTGCTGCTGCTGGGCTCCTCATCCTCTCCAGAACTTTCGCTGGAACTGGATGCATTTTCTCCGATTCTCCCCGTTTCCGCATCCCTTTGCCTTAGTTTCCGATAGTTAGCAGACTCCCCAGAGGAACTGCTGAGGAATCGCTCTCGAAAGGATTTGAAGATTCCAGAACTTATGGTGCCAATGCTACCACGTCCATGAACTCCGGCCGTGGAGGCACTCCGTCCGGCATAGCTGCTCCTCCGCTTTCTTCTGGGTTTTTGGGGGGACTGGGACTCCGGTGGAGATCTGAGGTTCTCGAGGGCTGCATTCATATCCAGCCAGCCGGCGGCACTCATCTTGCTTGGCTACTTCCAATAATGTCTGCTAATCTTTATGATGCAATGATTGTCGTCACGGATTTAAAACTCTGGCTCGCATGTCAGGGAATCGCTTTCTGGTCCCCTGGGTTTCTAACCTTTCTAACCCTCTCGTGGTGTCTCAGTTGGCTTCCCTCCAATTAACAATTACGAGTGTCTGCTGCCCGAAAAGAAAGCAATTCATAATTTGAAATGTTAGAAGAGGCGAAATTTGCATGCTTTCAATTAATAAGGAACCCCATTGCATTTGCCCATCTTATGGAGAGATTACTTTTATTTTTTTCGGCATGGATTGTTGAGTTTTGCATAAGAGGGTAATTGTAAGTGAACGATTGTCTGGTGAGTGTGTATGGAAATCGGGGAAATTGCAATTGAAATGGTAAGAGAACATGGTAGGAAGTTATAGGGAGTGTCTGAATGGATTGTTAAGCTGGAATTCAAAATAATTTGTTAGGTATTTTAAGGAATTTCAAGGCAAGTTTCCCCGAAAAATCCTGAAAGTGCATTATATATCAGCATTCAGTAAGTTATTAGTGCATTTTCTTATCAATTATGTGCCAGTCAACTATGAAACCAGCATTTATGCCTCTTTTCCACTTCACTTAGCTGAAAATACATTTTTCATTTTGCCGATGACATTCATTTGCCATCTGTCCACTGACATTAATCGATTTAATGACAATTAAACGATTCATATTTCAAAAGGAATGTCTGCATGCACTCGATACATTACCGAAACACACAATGAAATGATTTGATGTGCGACATTTTTAATGAATTTCCATTTAACTTAATTGGGTCAACTGTAGAAGCCGAGTTCAGTTGGAGCATATTTAAAGTAATTTAAATTACACTTTAGTCGTTGAGCAAGTGCAAAAAATGAAATTACCCGATTTGATTTATTTTTTGTTAAATCATGCAGCGGCAAATGAACATGAAAATGCGAAAATATAGTTGGATTTCCCTCTCTCTTTCCCCGGGCAGGTGAAAAGGCGTCGGAAAAGATGAAAGGGTTCGAATGATGGATAACTAAAATGTCTGTGTGTGTGTGGGCCCTCATGTGCATATTATTGCGATCAGAAATATATATAATATAAATCTCTCTCTCGCCCACTTGATATTTTAAGCTCATATTTGCGGATCTTAAAGGATGTTTGTGTTGGCTGTGGGGAGGGACCCTTGTTACCACTTCCACTTTGTAAGTGCTTGCGAGCCATTAGAAAATATTTGCTAGTCTTGCACTGAAAAAAATTCCTGAACATAGGAATCTTGTATAATGTTTTAGGTAACAGAACCTGAAAGCCAGAATTGATTTATTAGTGCTTACGGGTAATTAAACCGGTTAATAGCATTTAATACCCAAATCTCTTCCCCATTGATTCAAATTTTCACGGTGTATTGACGTTGCGAGCATAATAAACAAACGTTAAACAGACGATGTCGGCGACAGCAGGAAAGAGGAAGAACGAAGAACTCCCAACGCACACACTCCATCCAAAAAAAAGAACAGGAGAAAAAAACTTAGCCAGAGCAAACTGTCACATTAGCATATTGAGAACCCAGGTTAGCCAACAAAAATGCGTCTGCTCTCTTCGTTCTGTCTTGGCCAACTCTCTACACTGCTCAAAAATGGGTAATTGAAAGTGACGATTACAGACTTTAATTTCAATATACATATGCAGCTCTATTTTCACGCTTCTATAAATTAGAAAAATAATCTACTTCGAGAAACAATATGTTTTAAAAAAAAGTAAATTTACTAAGTACCAGAACTTTTTTCTAACTTATAAAAAATCATTTCCAAATTTTTAAAATCTCCTAAAAAATCCAGCGTTCTTTTGAATAAATAATCTTAACTTTCATAATGTTTTGATTGTACAAAATGTCATGTGAAACTGTCAATAATGAATTATGTGTAAGCTCTATTTAAAAGTAACAAAAGGTAGATTTAAAAATCATACTATAGGGTAGATTTTCTTTTTTTGTCTATAGAACATCCGTTTTTTTCCAATGTAGGCTCCGTCTCTGCGTTCTGCTCTGCCGGCGTCGCTGCCAACGCACGCCGCGCTGCGCATGCGCAACTTTCTTTGCCCCACCGGCGCCAACTTCGACGTCGACTGCGCCGTTTCGGGGGCCTTGGTAAAATGGCTTAGTCGCTCTTCTGCGCCAGCGCCTCGTATCAGTCGACTTGCAGACTTTCGCGTGCGCGGTGGTGGTACGAACTAACCTTATAGCGATCATTATATAGCAGCAGTATAGCAAAAAGCAAACAAACAGATCGAGAAATTCGCTGGGATTAGGGCGCGACTTGTGGACAGTTTGCAGTCATGTGAAATGGTTCAATTAGTGCAATAACAATAAGTCATAAAGAAACCGTGTTTGATTTACATAATTAACAAGTGGAGTGCGAGCTGAGGAGGAGATTTCGAAAAATTCCCCGCAATAGAACAAGCAGAACGAGAATCGAAATATATTCCGATAACGGAACGGCATACATAGATTGTCGGGACCGCTACGACGACCAAAAGGCTCATTAAGTTTACATGCATTGAATTGCATAACCAGCGGGCAGAAGATGAAGACGATGATGCTCCACTTACGTCACTGGCCACTCCTGTTGGCCATCGCTTCCTGCCTGATTTTCACAGCAGCAACAACAGCTACGACAACAGCAACAGCAACACCAGCGACACCAGCAACACCAGCAACATCAACAGCAACATCATCTTTATCCTCCATTCCGGGCAAATATCAAGCCTTGGGTGCAGCCCACCATCAGGCAAAGAAGCTGAAAATCGGAGCCGTCAACGCTTCCTCCTCGGATGCCAATGCCAATGCCAATAAACCTGTATTCCGGCAAAATCCGATCAAGAATTGGTTCGGTGCCTTCAATCGCAATAATTCGCCGGCAGCTCAGAACCAAACATCGCCGACATGTTCCTGCAGGTGAGTTGGTCCCCCGAGACAGATACAGATACAGATACAGATAGAGAACTTTAAGTTACGAAGATGCAACACGCATGCTGAGATACAAAAGCTGTCATGGCCATGATGACAACTTCCAGTTAGACGGCCAAGAGAAGTGATAAACAACTCTGGCGTTGTCATTGTCACGGCACCCAAATGGCACAAACAGTTAAAGTTACAGGTGGATTTTAGTGCCTGCGAGGAGGTCACGCGACAGAAGATGTGTCTATTCCTTTTGAGTTAGGAACAGGAAACTTTAAGACAAAAGCCAAAATAAAAACGATTGATTCCTCTGTTTTCAATTCTAAATTCCCTTAAATCTGGAAAAGACCAAAAAAGGATTGTATCTATATGATTAAGCTATAGGAAATATATTATTTCCGAAAACAAAGAGTCAGAGTGACTTTACAAATATGGTAGTTGTGGATATCTATAAGGCAAACATCGAAATCAAAGGGGACTTTAAACTTTCGATTGAAATGAAACCCTTTAACTTATTAATAGAACCAACTCACACAAGATTAACCTTAACCATTTTAAAGACTAATAGGCTGCATTCCTTTAAATCAGCAGTGGTCATCGCCTTAAACATTTTTTTTAGCACATACCTTTTATCCCAAAAGAATCTTTTGCCCATTTGTTAGCCGTTTCGAAAAGCCAATTCCCGGCATGACCTCAAAGCGAGGTTCTCTCTGAAGAATTGCATTCGGAATGCATTCTTGTGTGGCCATTAAACAAATTGCATTACCAATTGGGAATTCAACTTTGGCTTTTGGCATAAGGAAACACCCAAGGGTATTTATAGAGTCGGCCGTTAAAATTGACAACAAAAGAAAACGGATTCTAAAGGGAGTTGGAAAGGATCTCCAGAGGCTAAAAATAAGTTACTCTCTAGTAAAGAGTTTTCGTAACTCAAAGTTCGCTTTTAATTGAATTCCCCTAAATCTGTATTTCTTTAGAATCTCTAAAAGCTATAAATCCAGTTGGAAGCGCTAGCTGTTCCTCTATTTGTTAATGAAGACCTAAAACTCGTTTTATTTCTGTATATATAAAATGTTTAATTTTTTTGCATTTGAAAGAAGAAAAGAAACTGATTTGCATACGATTTGATAACAGTCTCTGTTTGGCTTTTAAGAACGTGTGCGTTGTTTGTACACCCAGCAGATACAGATAGAGATGCGTATGGCAGATACTGTATAAGGCGCACATTCAATGCGTCATGTCATATTAATGTCTGTGCGGGAGGCAGGGGAATGCCGCCGTCGTGTTCTTCGGCTTTTGGCCGTCTTTTCCGTCTTAGCCTTCCGTCTTGGCCGTCTCCTAAGTGGGTCGCCGTCGCACATTTTGCTTCTTTGTTTCGGGACGCCTCTCCACCAGGCCGGCCACCATTTTGGGGCAATGACACGATTAAGCACACACACAAAATCTGAATCCCAAATACTTGTTGCGGCCGGATCGATTGATTGTGGTGTGGCCAAAATAAATAAAATACAAAACAACAAAAAATAAAAAAAGAGATATAACTTGTTACGCTTCCTTTCCGACCCGGTGGAAGATTTTTATTTTGGCTGCATACGGCGTTCTGTTGTTGTCCAGTGGTAATTAAAAACCTGTTTAATGTAACGCGTTGTAGTCGTGCCTCTGCAGATGGCGGCCATAAAATCTGCAAAAATCGCTCATTTATTTTATGTCCCTCCATAAAGCACTTTGACACTTTCTTTATGGCGGGGTTGCTGAACCCTGAACTTCGATCTGCAGAGATGGCGATCACCCTTGACCCAATCCATTTGTCTCTTTCCTCGTGAAAGGCCTAATCGTCGGAAATGTTGTTCAATGTAGGCTTACTAATGAGGTGACTTTAAGTATTGAACTCTGCTTAAATTATCACATTTTAAAAAGGGAACTAAAAAGATTTTTCTATGCATTGTTAATAGAACGTTTCAATCAAACTAAACAACCATTTTATTTGAAGTTAATGTAGAGATTAGCTTTTTTGGTGATTTTTTCAAATGTCAATAAATAAAATTACTTTTATTTCTTTAATTTGACACTTCATTTTTAGTAAGAACGTTATTCATATCATAACTAAACAATACTCTTTAAAATTATACTGATTGTAATATTTAACACAAAGATTCTTTAATAGAATATGTTTTATGTGGACTTCTAAAAACCAAATAATTATAATAAGTAAGTTGAATGGAAAATTGTAAAATTGAAGAATATTTAACTTCTGATTTGCCCTTTGATACTTGTATTTTTTTTTTAAAGATTATTTTTTAATTTTTATTTTTTAGTAAAATATATGTTGCTGACTCTTAATATCCCCTATATTTTTTCAGATGCGGAGAGCGCAATGACGAGTCGAGGATCGTGGGCGGCACTACGACGGGCGTCAGCGAGTATCCATGGATGGCGCGTCTGAGCTACTTCAACAGGTTCTACTGTGGCGGTACCCTGATCAACGATCGCTACGTGCTGACGGCGGCGCACTGCGTCAAGGGTTTCATGTGGTTCATGATCAAGGTGACCTTCGGCGAACACGACCGTTGCAACGACAAGGAGCGCCCGGAAACCCGCTTTGTGCTGCGCGCCTTTAGCCAGAAGTTCAGCTTCTCGAACTTCGACAATGATATAGCCCTACTCCGTCTGAATGACCGGGTGCCGATCACCAGTTTTATCCGACCGATCTGCCTTCCGCGTGTGGAGCAGCGTCAGGATTTATTTGTTGGCACAAAGGCCATTGCCACCGGTTGGGGAACCCTCAAGGAGGATGGAAAACCCTCGTGTCTGCTGCAGGAGGTCGAGGTTCCTGTCCTCGACAACGACGAATGTGTTGCCCAGACGAACTACACCCAGAAAATGATCACCAAGAATATGATGTGCTCGGGTTATCCGGGAGTGGGTATGCGAGACAGTTGTCAGGGCGACTCCGGTGGTCCGCTGGTGCGCCTACGGCCGGATGATAAACGCTTCGAACAGATTGGAATCGTTTCCTGGGGCAATGGTTGTGCTAGACCCAATTATCCCGGCGTTTACACCCGGGTCACCAAATACCTGGACTGGATTGTGGAGAATTCGCGGGACGGTTGCTTCTGCGACGAGGATTACTGATTAAGTAAAGAGAGTGCTCAAAGCGGTGGACAATTCTTCGCCTTAGTTGTAGTGAATCCCTTAGTAGTTTAGCTCATATTTTGTACTTTTATACTAAAACAACTGAATAAAGTTAAACAATGCAGTAGGTTAGATATCCCAAAGTAAGCCGGTATTTATCTTTGGGGTTTTGAAGTGTTCTTATCAGTATTAAAAAAAAGAATCGCACTCGCGACTGTACAATCACATAGCAGAGCAAGGTTTCGATCCTCGGACCTCTGGGTTATGGGCCCAGCACGCTTCCACTGCGCCACTCTGCTTGCTTGAAAACACCGATCTCTAGAGACGGGTAAGTCCATAAGCCTTTTTTGCGTGAAACCCGCAAAGCTGGAGTTTAGTTTGCATCTTGTAGACCGACTGTCACATGGGCCAGCCCCCTTAAATTCTAAAAAAAATGATTTTGTGCAATAAAAAAAAAATGTTTAAACATTTATCCAAAACAAATTTAAATACAAGGCGAGCGCGGGACTTGAACCCGGGCTCTTTCGATTGGTAGTCTGATATCTTATCCACTACGCCATACGGCAAGCGGGCGAGCGGCCGATAAGTTGCAAACTAGAATCCAGCATTGTGTGTTCGACCAAAAATATGCATATGTACTTACCCGTCTCTAAGGCAGATGGGTTTCAAGCAAGCAGAGTGGCGCAGTGGAAGCGTGCTGGGCCCATAACCCAGAGGTCCGAGGATCGAAACCTTGCTCTGCTATGTGATGGTAAATTCGCAAGTGCGATTCTTTTTTATTTTTTAATATAGATGCACAATTGCAATAAGGTACCTTTTTAAATTGAAGCAAACAGGAAACAACATCCAGCTATCCAATATTACACCTATCGACCTTTTTGGTTTACCCACATTAAATGGAAAACGGGGTTACTTTAAACTGTTATATTATCTCACCCCTGAAGTCTGAAATGCCACACGTTTAAAACTAAATCTAGGAGTGAGGTTGTACTCAAAAACGCTTTATTTAAGAAATGTTCCATCAGTAGAAATATATTTCCTTAAGAAAAAATTTATTGCAACGAAGAAAAGGCCAAGTTAAAGAAGTTAATGTCAGAACAAACAGCTTTTTGAATATTTTCTTTGCTTCTTGGGAGGTGCTAAATATTATGCCAATCTTTACTTTATCAATAACTAGTATTTATCTTTAGTCATTTCTAATGGTTCATACAGCTGACAACTGTTGTTCAGCAGTCAGGTAATTGCTCGAGTAACGAGGCAAGATATTGGGGCTTCAGCAACCTTCAGTCTCTGTTGCACTTAGAAGACTCGACTCTCAGCGGTTAGTTGCGGCCCAAAAAAGCAAAAATCGTTAGAAACATTAGCTATGTAGTCGCTGGCAAACTGGTTTCCATCGAACAGCTGTAAACACAAGGGGCAAATAAAAAATGAACGTTGGGGAGAAGACGTTAACTTTAAAAGTCAAACGTTGACTTAGCCAGAGGAACGATGAAGCACCAAAAAGTTTTATCTCATTTCGAATGTTTATTTATGAAATTTATGTGTATTGGCTAATGAAACTTACGCGGAACTGAGGTTGACCGATAGCAAACGGAAAAAGATTGCTGATATCCTTATCTATTCGTCTTTCACTTGATATAATTGTTTACTCAGCACAGTGATCACCGGAAAATTGACGTCAATTTCCACTTTCGCTGCGCCCACTTTTCATTTCATTTCACGACCGCACTCGCGTGCGCCTTGCCTTGCGTAATTATTCAAATTCAAATTTTTAGCAATGGATCAAGATTCGCGCATCTCGTAGATATATTTTCGTGTGCACAGGGGGGCTCCAGGTTAACGTTTCGAAATTTTCTTTTCAGCCGTTCAGTTTTCACGTTGCGTTGGCAGCAGTTGTTTACCGTGCGCCGCTCGCGCGCTCACTGAAAAAAGCCACTAGAAGCTCCCCTCGCACCCAAAGATATACAGAGAGCCAGATTTCCGACGGATGGAGCGTCGCCTGAGATCTCGAGACCATTTCGTTGTTGTCTCGATGTCGGAGTTTCCACGCTCTCCGAAACGCCGGTCGTATGAATGGATGAATAATTTTGGTACATAGAAAAAAGTTTTGCCAAAATTGGTCATCACATCTGTGTTCTTCAGAAGAAAAATTCTCTTAAACATACATGACATATCGACATATCTAAAAATACATAAAAATTCAAGCACATGTACCATCAAACTTCTACAAAGTCAGAGAACAAATCGTTTTATTATATTATACGATTAAATTTGTATTCGCAATATAAAGTCATATATTCCAGATTGTCAAGAACTGATAGCAAACATAAATAAAAATAGCGTAACAAACGATTGGTTACCAAGCAAAAAGATTCCTCTAACTGGCTTTATATTGAATCTTATTCGCTTCACGGATTTAATATGATTTTCCTCGGATAAGACAAATCTTTTTCTAAAATCTATGGAATGACCGTGGTCCTCTTATCAGATTTTGATTTAACTTATAACTGGAAAAATATGCAATAAAATTTGTTGAAGTCGTTGAATGGGTAAACAGGAATATCTAGAAGGCCGAGTCATTGCCGCTCAGAGCTTCGTATAAACAGAACTAAATAATTCGATCATCAACAGTCTCCGAAACTGAAACTGATAAAACTTATAAAAAAAATCTGAAAATTTGTATAATGTCTTCTTTGAACTCATCGGAGACGCCCACCACAAGTTCTGCCGTGCAGAAGAAAACTTCAAAGGATCAAGAATGTACCATGAGCGATCCCCAGAGTCTTGAGGGGATCGATAATCGCCTCAAGTCCCTTATGGCTCGCTTGACTACTCTGGAGAATTCGCTGGAAGAGTTGAGCTTACCTCTTCAGACGTACTTCGAAGGAGATCGCGGAGACACCGATCAGGATTTTGAAACTTTGCAGGATGCGTTGGACGTCCAGGATCATGAACTTTTGGACTTGGAGGTTGAAAATGATATCGGAGACAAGAAAGATGACGATGATGTTAAAGAATTAAAGGATGAAGACCCAGAGAATTCGTAAGGAATTGCTCTGCATGACTTAAATAATTTTAGTGTTATTCAATTTAAGTGCATAAAACTATTGAGAATGGTGTAAAAGTTTAATTTATTCACATTATGAAAAATGCATTCTGTTGTCCTGGGAAATGCATTGAAAATGTTGCGTAATAAAGAAAACTGAGTGGTCGGAAAAGAAGCTATAAATGTTTAAGCGATCAAAATATCGCGGGTCCTTTTTCTTCATACTAGGGTGGACCGGAAGTGCATTCTTGACAAGTTGGCAGTCCTTTCCACCAGCTTTACTACAATTTTCCTCTTCCTGTGAGTTATACATGTAATTTACATGCTATTCCTACATAGGTCAAATTGCGACATCTAGCGGTGATGTATTTTACTCAACTATTAGAATATTTTACGCGGAAGTACCTACACTTTACTTATTTCTTAAGTGTTGGCAACACCGTATTTAAAGGCGCGTAACTTAAATTTAAAACCAATTGAATCACCCCCAATCAATTAAAAAATGCATCGCGCTTTCTTTGTTACTTTTTTGTATTTTTTCTTTTTCCATTTGTTTTAATACAATATATAAAAACCGATAAAAAATCAAAAATAAATATAAATATGTAGGTTTACTCAGTTTAGTTTGAAATGCGCTTGATGGCTGGCAAAAGTCAGGGCTGTCTACGAAAGATACAAAATTACAAAAGCCGTGGCTCGGACGCTTTTCTATGGCCATGATAACGTAAATAAGACTTCAGCTGTTTAGATTTATCAGTTAGACTACAGTTACAAATTAGTTATTGCTGTTCATGTTGGGGCTAATTGAATTCGTGTGCTGTGGCAATTTGCTTGTTACATATGCGCATATGCATAAATATAATACAAATTAAATATGTAGGTGTAGGTGTGTTTTCCGCTTAGGTCTCTAGGGGCTAAAGTGTTTATAGTTAATTTTTGCTAAACGATCACATTGAACAGGCACTCCGCTCGCACTCACACTCGATAAAAGCACTCACTCCTCGACATTCACGCACTCACTCGCTCGTTCTTTCGCTCTCTGGCTTACAAATTACAATTTCGCACTTAGACTTAGAGTGTGGGGGAACAGGGGCATTTGGGGGCTTACTAAACTAAAATGGGCTCGTTACGTATTCTCTCTCCTCCTCGAATTTCTTGTTCTCCTAACGTTAAATCAGGCATTTTCGATTTTTCACAGTAGCCAAGAGTTTACAAAATTGAATTTACGAATTTAATGAACTTGGTTTCAGCTCATGGTTCACAAGCTTGATGTTCAGAGATTTAAATCTAATTCAAATTCGCAAAGTCCTGACGAGAGTACCATTCGAAAAGGGGGGCCGTATATATATATTCTCGATTGCGTTTTGATTGCTTCTATCAAAAGTTTTTATAAAATTTTGGACTCGCATTTCGTATATAAGGGTTGCATGTAGTTCTGCTAATAACATTTTGCTTCACGGATGAATGACTGAGAGGTGTAGGGGATGCAGCCGTGCTCCACCTTGGCTGCCTTTCGCACGTTGAGTAATCACAGCAAATCGGCGCAGACGCCGCCGAACCACGCCATATAAAGCGGCAGCAGATAGACAACCAGAGCGCGACGCAGCGTCATCTTCTCGGGGGCATCCGAAGATCGATTGTCATTGGCCCCCGAGCCGCCGTGACCGTCATCCAAGTCCTCGTCCTCATCCTCCTGCCGATGATCCTCATCCAGATCGTTGTGATCCTGGTCGAAGTGGGTGGTGTGCACAAGCGGATTCTTGTCGTCCACTCCGCTTGTCGGTCGAGATGTGTGCGTGGGCAGGTGGCCACCGGTGTCCTCGTCATCGTCGTTGTCCGCATCCACCGAGGGACGCTCGACTTCCGGCTTGTGGCTGGGCTCGAAGGGTCCCAGACCAGAGCCCTCATCGTCGTCCTCGTCGTCTTCGGAACCTGATCCTGAGCCAGCTCCACTGCCTGCATAAGGCAGTTCTTCTGAAAAAGCAAAGGATTTAAAATTAGAATAGGAGTTATAGTATTTGAATGGTTCTCCATTTTGTATTGGATCCTTACCTTGTTCACTCCATTCTACATCCTGACCTGTGTAGGCATTTCGCAGATGAGCAATGGCATTCTTCAGGTGGCTCAGTTGCGCGGACATCTGAGCGGTCTGCTTGGTGCTGGCCGGATTGCCACTGAACTCTGGATTCGAGCCATGCTCTGTGGTAATCGAGTGCATGTATCTATAAAGAAAAGTAGGTTAATTAAATTTCTATGAATTACATAAGCATTTTTCTTCCCACCTGTCGATGGTGTGACCATTCCAGCACATGCCGTCCACATCGGAACTGGAGGCTATATCCTCGTTGCTGCAAACGGAGTGCGGCAGATTGGACCAGAACTTCTTGTAGTCCTTGACCCGCTGGCGAATGTCCCTGACGATCCTGTCCAGAACCGGTTCCCGTCCGCCGCCTCCACTTTCATTGTCATCGTCATCGTTGTCATCCCGATTGTTTTGCTGTTTGCGTCGCTGTTGCTGCTGCTTGCGACGTTGCTGCTGCCGCCTGTTGTTGCCACCACCGCCGCCTCCTCCTCCTCCTCCACCGCCTCCTCCACCGCTTCCTCCTCCATTGCCAACCTTTCCAACGCCCTGCTCCTGGGACTGCTGCTGTCCCGAGGACTCCTGGGAACCTGGCTCAGCAGCTCTGCGCTCCCTCAGCACGATGGCCTCATCCAGAGTGTCATCGATGTCCAGAGTATCCGCCTCCACTGGGCTCTTTGCATTCAGGACTTGGACTCCTTGCATTTTGGGACTAATGGATCGCTTCATTTTCTTCAACTTGGGCCTGCCACATCCTTGGAACACGCGGTTGGTGATGTCCTGGCCAGAATCCTGCAGAGAAAGAAGTATAGTATTAGATACAAATGCAGATTACACACATTTTTTCTTAAACCAAACAAGTCCAATTATAAAATGTAATAAAATAAATTAAAGCTTAAATTATAGCCTAATTGACCTTATAGAAAAGGCCAACACATAAACAACTGATATTTGATATTTATAATTTCTGGTAAATTAGAAAGCTTGGAATCGAAATGACTTTTTGAAACGAGTTGCGCAAGGGAAATCACATAATTTTCCATACTTAACAGCAATTCCATTCACACCCCACTGAGTGTAGCCTCTTAATGGCTATTTATAGTTAGTTTTTATTGACCCATTCCATAGATAAGAATTGATTTCAGCCGGCTACTCATTATGAGGCACTCGAGCGATCAGAGACCTCTTCCCAAAGAGTCAACTCTCTACAGAAGCTTGCGCTTCATCAGCCTTATCAGTACTCCTATATCTCCTGTGTTATTTCCTTCAATGGCCCCTCTTCTCGGCAGTTTACAGTTCATATAATTACGGAGTTTGGGTTAGGAGTTCCACAGTTTCAGAGCTCCAAAGTTCCCCCCGGTTCATCATAACTGTCGACCCGACTGGAAGATGGTAATCATCAAAAGCGGTTCGTTCGTCGGTTCAACTTACTTGGAGGTTGGGCAAACGCTTGACACACCGACCAAGAAACTAATCAGAATTAAAATTGAATACTATTTCGCATTTTATTTTGCATTTTTTGCCTTTTATGGGGCCGTCGACCAACAACAAACATGGGCAAAAGTAAACACATTAAAAGGCCAAATGCCGAAACACAAACAACAACAGCATTAGATATAGATACAAACAAAGGCAGCGAATAAGAAGAATCAGAGGTTGAAAAAAGAAATGTATAAATTTTAAATGGAAATATAAATTAAATTCATATGCGGGCCAAATGTTGTGCAAATAAATCGTAAAAATGGCAAACAAAACAACGAACGCGGCGATGAGAATAGTTCAAAACAGACAGCGGGTCTAGAGAGGGTTAAAATATTGCAGTAATCAAAATTCAATAAGTTATGGCTGTCCGAGTGTAAATTATTCTTTTGCTTTCTGTGTAAATATCAGGCATAATATTTGTGTTTTTTTTTGACGGAATTTATGCATGAGAAGTATCAGTTTTTATGGGTGTTACATTTTGGCATTTATTTAGGGATTTAATTGGAACTGAAAGAGAATGAATCATTTTAAAAAAATGTTGCTACTTTATTGAAAATATAATAATAGAGATTTTTGATTTCCCATTTGCCAATAGCTTCATAGATTTTTTCTAACGTAAAAAGTTCATTCATTTTGGATTTTATAATGATTTTTGGAATCGGGGTTTATGAATCATTACAATATTAGATTTGCTTCCTCATTAGCCAAAAACTCATTAAATTTTTCTAAAGTTTACTATCACATATTAAACGCCACGATCTCTTCCGGTTATCCCCTAGAATTACTTTGGGACTCGTTTGAAATGTATGCGAATTAACTAACCATGCGTAAAGCACTCTGACGCACTGACAGTTTTATGCGAACATAACTTAGAGTCCCACTGCGAACCCCGCCGAAGATAAAAATTAACCAGCAGCTGCTCGCCCCAAACGAGTTACAAATTGCGATTGGTTTATGCAAATGCTAATGATAATGACCCCAGCATATCCAATTATCCCGCTGTAGCTGTGGATCTCACCTGGAAGTTCATGATGGCCTCGGAGATCTTGATGTTGAGTGGCTCCACCACCATCACAATGTTGAAGGATCCCAGCAGACGCTCGGCCAGCTTGTCCATGTTCATAGCGAAGTTCTCCCACTCGGTGTCGAACTCGTGCTGGTAGTGCAGGCATCCCTTGATGACGTTCACGCAGTAGTTGGTACAGGGCTTCTCCGTATAGCCCTTGCAGGCCCCGCAGTGCTGCATCTTGGTCAGGGCGCCAGTGCAGTCGGCATTCAGTCGGACCTGGGGATTAGCAAAAAAAAAAAAAATGATATAATACCGTGAAATTCTATTAAATAGGTGAGTGGTAGAATAGAGTACAATGGAGCTGTCTAAACAGAATTCGTGTTTATAGATCATATGGATTATATTATAAGAATAATCCTGTTATTTACTGTATAATCATGTTTTAATCTATTTAAAAACATTTTCTAAGCCTTGTTATCATTATTAATCATTATTTAGTAATGCAGATAAGTACAGCCGGCATTCCTTAGCCTTAAAATATTTTTGATAAATCACGTTCGATCTTAACTTACATTCAGAACCTTTTTGGCCACCTCAGAGGCCGTGGTCAGGGCCTGTCCGTAGGTGCGCGTGGCCACGAAGGATCGCTTGATTTGCAGGGACAGCTTGTCCGGGACATCCCCGAATGGCTTCAGCTCCTTCATGTGTTCGCTGACGCATCGCATGTAGCTGGAAAATAAGAAATGGTTGGAAAATGAGAGCGGAATGTTCGGGGAAAATATTTTCATAGGGTATGCTGCCACTGGAGGCGGAAATCTGCGCTTGTAAATGGCATGGCTCAACGCCATCGCCATCGCCTCCGCCCTCGACTTCATCATCATCATCAACATCGCATTCTTCTCCGCAGCCGCACAACTAAAATTTTTATGCGGAAAAATCATAAAAATAGTTGCTTGCCATGTGCTGGCGTTGTTGATGTTTTTGTTTCCCCTGCAGCACCTCTATAAGAATAAGTATGTGTGCCTAGTCCTACAGTTTGGCCATCAAGCATGACAGTCATTGCACTTGTACGGCTGCCTTTGGCCCCTCACTGTCACTGCCTGCGCCATTATGGTCAAGAAGACGGTGGTTCTGGTCCCCGTCCCCTGTCCCTGTTGGCCATCACCCCACCACTTGGCCTAAACAATTTAGGAATTACTGCAAGTCGCATTCGCAGAGGTGACAGATCAGTCAAGCGGCAGCACCAGCAGCTGGAACTCCCTGATGGGAGGGGAGTTTGTGGAGTTTGGTCTCTTAAGATAGTCGATTAAAGTAATGACTTAAATTCCAAAAAAGGAAAACACTTTTTTTCACTTAAGGCTTAACAAATTATCTTGAATCAACTCTTTATAGAAATATTTCCATAAAGACAATGCAGAGGATATGATATGATGCTAACCAAATTTAAAATTTTATTTTTACTCGAATATAATATGACTTTAAAAGGAATATTCTTTGGTGTCTTTCTCTCTATCTATACATTTTATTAACTTCCCCTAAATTAGTTCTTGTTTTTATAGCGTGCTTATTAAAAACTTTATTCCACTATTTATCATCCTATAACTAGGACTGTGTCTTCTTTGCCTTAATTTGTAATCACATGCGACTCTTCATGTTTAGGACATATCGCAAATCAGTGTTGTATCCAAACACCCGTTGACTTCCCATAGTTGTCCCCTCTTTTCAGACGAACCCCCAGTGTTTGACAGACAAACTAACTGCTTGAGCTACCCCCTCATTAAATGGGCAGGAGAACCCTAGCTTTAGGTCCAGTTGGAACTCTATGTTCAGCCGGGGCATCTGATCCATTCCGAGGGCAAGACCATCACAGTTCAGGCGACCGACCAACCGCACAGAGCAAACAACAGCCACAAACAAATAACAGGGGGGCATACACAGTGAAAATAGTGCTTAAGTAATTAGATCTTAAAAGAAAAGAACAATGAAAACTTGAGAACATCAAGCATTTTGGGCTTGATGAAGTGTTTCTTTCGGGAAACTTAAGTCCACTTTGAAGCATAACTTTATGAATGGTTAAATTCATTATTCATATTTTCGGGTGGAATATTTTTAGGCAGTGTAGCAGGCAAGTGCCGGCAATTACGCGACATCGTAGTCGTCCCTCCTTCTGTCCTATGGCAATAAACGGGCGACGTGCCAAAGCACGTACGACAAACTAAAACGATGACAATAAAAGCGAATCGCTTGAGCTCAGGCCAAAAGTCGCAATCGGAGTTGGAGTTAAAGTCAGCGGCATCAATTGGAAAGCGCGTGGGTAACACGAGCCCTTCCAAAAGGGGGAGTGGCCGGGCAGGGACCAAAAAGTCATTTGGCCAAGTCGCCGGTTACCGGAGACCAGAAACACAGAAGACCAGAGAAGACCGTTCCAGGGCAATGATCCAAGTGGGCGCAATTTTCGCTTCATATTCCCCCTATTCACCATTTTGGCGGAAATGCGAGCAGCTGACACAGGAACTGGCATAAAGTGCGGTTTTTGGTTATGGCTGGGTTATGGGATAGGGATTGGGATTGGATTGGATGTAATGGGTTGGTTGGGATGAATAAATCGCAGTAGGTAGAATGGTAGTGGGAAGTAAAGTAATATCACCCATGTGGGAGACAATCTGTCTAACTAGAAATGCAGGAATTATGGGGAAATTGGGTAAACTACTGTCATAATTTCTAAGTCTGTTTTTTTAATCTCTAAAAAATAACATATAACATAAATAAACATAACACATATTTTTTACGAAATATTATAATGTCGTAACCATTGAATGTTTTAAGATTAAAACTCACTTCATTTTTTAATCCTAAATTCAAAATATAAATCTAATAATGTTATGTTCTTTATATGTTTTATATAAAGACTTCTTAAATTCGAGGTATTTTTCTAGAGCATCTCCTATTCACCTATGATAACCTTCTGCACAACTTCCTCATTTTCTCTTTGCTTTAAGCGATTCAACCACAATCGAAAAATCTGGCAAAGCCAAGAGCAACTTCAAACTCGGGTAGCGTAGAAAAAGAAAACCTCCATAGGATATACTCATATCGGGAATCGCCAACTGAAATCGCACACCGCCGTGTCAAAGTTTCGACGGGCCGTCAAGTCAGTTAGTTGTCGTCAGCCGAGAGACCGAGACACTTTGCGGTTTCACACGTTTTGTTTTTACGAACCTCCAGTTAGGAGGCCTCTAAAATCGGTCTCGCTTTGGAGCCCTTTGGGTTTGGGTTTAGGTTTCGATTTCGCAGACTACTCACTTTTCATCAAAGGTATACTGGGTGTTCAGCACGGTGAACATTTTCTGGTACAGCGTATTGAAGAACTTGTCCATGACCTCTAGCAAATCCACGCGACCGTTGGCGAAGTACGTTTCCAACTCCTTGAAGAGATCCGAGAAGACATACGAGTTTCTCTCGTAGATGACGCCGTATGTGCGAATGAACATACTATTGAACTGGGTTCGCGACTCTTTCAGCAGGGCGGTGAAGATATCTGCAGGCGGAAAAACGAATTAGTGAAAAATGTAACGAGATTTAATTGATATTGAGCGCACATCCGCTGGCATCGACTAAAAATGTTTGGAGTTCGATTTTATTTCTGGCCAGCATCCGCTGGAAAATAGAATACATGCAGCCACATCCGCCTTGTCGCCGGCCACTTGACATTGTCAGTAACTCGAGGCCCGCATCATTGGCCATAGATCATTGGATCTATATAGATCTGGGTTCTGTGTGAGGTCACAACCACTTGACACCCGAAAAATCCCTAATCGGTTGCTTATGTGGCATTTTCGAGTGGCTCGTTGATGGGATTAACAATCGGTGACCTACCTTTGAACTTGGTGGCCTTGGTGCCCAGGATTCCAGACATTCGAGAGATCTGGTCCTTGGTGTGTGTTTCGAGTTGCTGGCGGGACTGCATCGCCATTCGGGTCTCCATGTTGTAGGTGCAGCAGGTGCCCACCGAAGGGGATTCGCAGTATCGGAGGACTCGTTCTGGAAAAGGCCAAAAAATATATTTAAAGTTAGTCAGGGTTTATAGAGTAGAGGTTTATGGATAGCCTTATGTAAAAAGAAGATCATGTATACCAACATTTTTGAACTTATTATATTATACCTTATATATTTTTGTTTACCCCAAGTCTTCTTCACACTATTTGGAAACTATTCTCACATCTCTGCTGCTTCTGTTACCTCCAATCTAGTTTAACGATTTTCAAGGTATACCATTCTACTGGCTGCCATTTGTTTGCCCCAACATTAGACCCACTTCCAGATGCATAACGTTGCATCGCAGCCAGCCTCGAATGAAGGTTTATCAACATTCCAGGAACTCGCACTGGAGTCGAGTGCAACTTGCCACTTGACATGGTAACCAAATACCAAATACCAAATACCGAATACCGAAAACCAAAGCCTGACCAGCTAACAGCGATTCGTTGGAAAAAACAAACGAAGCGTAGCTACTGGTAAATGCAAGTAACCCGAAGACGCAGAACCTGAAACCAAACTCAGCCCAAACTCGCCGGATACGGGCGTGGTTGCCTAGAGAATTCCTAGTCTCTGGCTGTTTTATTTACGCAAACATTTAACACATTTTTTGAGAGAAAATTAGAGGAAAATATGCATTAGTTCACTGCAACGATGAGTTCATTTCGGTGGACTGAGACTACCTATTTTCCCCCAACTTTATGCGATCTTTTTTTATAGCCGCTGCTGCTCCATGTTTATTTAGACAATTCCCAGGCCGAGAGATAGAAAGAGATGCTAGATCGGCGATCCAAAAGTTCAACACTAATTGAAAGCAAACAAGTTGGAAGTTGTGTTTTCTGGTTCCCAATCCAAATCCAAATCGGAATTTGTATTTATATTCCATTTCTATTTTTTGGTCGCTCATAAATTCCTGCTGCCCAGTTAAATGCATCATCTGCTGTGCACACATACCTTGTAGTATATGGAGTGCTGCACGGTTTGTTTATTTCTTTTATAAATTTAGATACTTTAGTGCACATTTTTCGACAGCCGAATGTAAACAGAGATTACTTCCATTGGCCCGTCTCCATTGCCCCATTATTTCCCCAACTTCCCCAACTTTTATTGTCTGTGCTCGACTGCTCCGTTTTATGGTCTTTACTAATTGTTATGTTGCACAAGATATGAATTGAGTGTGGCACCATCTAGAGACCGGGATACATATACTCCTCTGCGTATATACCGACCCTTTCAAGTCCTTCGGTCTGCTGGGGTTCCCTATATCCTGGGGCTTATCTAAATTGGCTCGCAGTCTGTGGTTTCCCCTTTTAATTGTCTGTCGCGGGGGTCGTTTTCGGTCCTATGTGACTGGCATGGCAAATGTTTAGCCGGGATTTCTCGGTTAAAGACCATTTGAGTTAATTGAAATTGTGGCAGATAAAAGAGCTCAGGACTTAATGGCCAAAATATAGTCAGACTAAGGAGATAAGTGAAATTGACAATAAATAAAGTTGCCTTTTTTGTTTACCGATTTATTATTATGTTTTAATTTTAGTATATACATTCTATTTAATAACATATTATTCTTAATAGCTTTTATCAATCAGTCCTTTATCAGTCCATTAACTTTATCCCTATTCTTCCCTAGAGACCCTTAAACAATATTTACTACACTTCCTATAACCTTTTGAAATCCATTAAAATGCCACGCAAAATGACAGCCATAAACCAAAACCACACACAAACCCCCAAGAATTTGGTCACCTCCTATAAGGTCCCTTAATCTAATCGATAAACCGTATCTAAAATCTATGTTAGAATAACATATCGGCATTAAAGTAACGTCAATGATTCTTCTGGCAACCATTTTTATGAATTGCTGCATAATTTTGCCGGCAGACAACAATGGGAAATGGGAAAATGGGAAAATCAAGCAGCAGCGGGGGATCCCAGATAACAAATGCTGCCAGGCGGCAACTTCCAGGGGGGAAAATCACCAAAAAAGGAAGCCGGAACGCCGAAGGATGGAAGGTGTCATGAGCATAATAAATGACCTCAACTTACCGATATGGCATTTTCCCTTTTTATTCTAGCTGACGCTGTGGAAAATCACCCCGTTGTCTAATAGAAAACTTTGGCAAAAAGTAGGAAGACGACATCGAAAAAAAAACAAGTAAACGAGAAACCACCCAGAAAAGTGGGTGGTGGTGTAACCAACACCACTCCCACCCCCTGGGAGAGCTGGTCACATGTTTTCCATTTCCACGCGCAATCCACTTAGTTACCAGGAGGGTGGCAACGGAGCAGGAAAAACTCTGCATTTACACTGCGGGAAAAATACTAAACAAATTACCTAATTAACTTGTAGTATGATTGAACATAATACTCAAGGAAAAAGTGTTAGAATCTTTCAGATAACTTAAAAATGCATCTTCAATTTGGAATTAGTTTACTGAAAATATTATTTTTTCAAATGTAAAGTTAGAATTTAGTTAGAAATTTCTTTCTGTGCAGACGACCCACCAAGTGGAAGTGAAATTTCATTTCAAATGATTTACTGTAACGATCAACAAACCCAGGAATTGCCCCAGACAGACGAGTCAACCCCCGAGGGCGTCGCTTAAAAGGGTGCGAAAGTTTAGCGAGCGTATCGCAGTCAATATCCAGAATATCCAGCAGCGATAAGTTCGGGGTGAGTGGAGAATGGGAGCCCAGGAACACCCAGTAGGCAGACATCTTGCCAAGGTTAACTTAAATCCCATCTCTTGGGGCAAAACGAGGAGGACTCTTTAAGAGTGCGAAAAGTTGTCCCTAACCGGGATGCTCAACAGCATGCTTGACACCGAAGCAAAAACCCGCCGCCTGGCAAAAACTGCACCCTCGTTGGGTGACAACAAAGAAACCGAAACTGTGGCTTACCATGGGTGCGAAGGGGAGATTTTGTGGCAAGATTTGATAAACAATTTGAAAAGGTTAGGGAGGAAGGGAAACCGCTGTTTTCCACTTAAATAACTTTAATAGGTATTCCTTACATGAAGAACTTTAACCCCTTGGTTACATTAATATTAAGAAACATCTAAGGTTTTTTTAAACTTCTTAGACTTCCTTAAATTTTAAATACCATTTTTAAATACTCAATTTATCAATGAAAAAATTTTATAAAAACTAAATTTCCTTTTTTGGATTACTTTAAAAATGCAGCTTTATTTTCCTCCTATAAATTTTTTTAATATTAAATATATTCCTAGTATTTTATTATTATTAGTATTTAATTTACCCACTTTTACTTCAGCTCATTTATAAATAATACAAGAGGTATATTCCTTATATTTATTTACAACTTTTCTTAAATTTTCCCATTTTTTTGGCCTCATTCAAAAGGTGTTATATGTATTATATCACATCAATAAATTTGTACTGCAGTTGCATTTTCCGCTGCACAATTCTGGCCGGAAATGTGCCACATCCATTTCCCAGGCTTTCCCACACTTGTGCATTCAAAGTTTACCCCCCACCACCCACATCCTGTGCATCCTTCTCTCTCTCTCTCTTTCATCCCCACCACTCTCTCTCCCGCTCTCTTTCTAACCACTCTTTGTGCTCCACTTGGAGATGAAAAGCGCAAAACAAAACACACATTTGAAACAGTTGGGCGAGTGAAAAGCCGAAACCGGCAGAATGGAAAGCCAAGAGCAACAACAACAGACAAAGGCAGACGCCAAAAACTAAACCCCCCCCCCAAAAATGCCACCCCCTTCTTTATCAGCAAGCCAACAACAACATTATCAATGGCCGGGAAATGCAGGGAAAACTTAACTTTTGAGTCGAGTTTCAATGGCCACTACAAAAGGGAGAGAGAGAAAGAGCGGCAGGAGCGGCAGGATTCTCACTCATCGCTTCGTCCTTTTTGCGAGGCACACAAATGCGAGCCGGCAACTCAACCAGGCGCCCAGAATTTCCCAGCAGCACGATTTCCAAAACTGTTGCACACGTGGACGCAAAAGTTTTCAGCAGCAACAAAAAAAATGGTAATGGAAATGTGGAAAAAGGGAGAATGAATAGCCAGACAAGAGAGAAAGAGAGCTGAAGAGAGAGAGCAGAGCCTGTGAAAGGGTCGTTGCACGCATGTAGCTTTCACTTTCCACTATGCTGCGGGGTTGAAAGAGTGAGTAGGGGGATATAGTTCACAAAAGTCACCCCAAAAACACAAAAAAAAAATTATAATAAAAAAAAGGACAGGAAAAGGAAATAAAGCAAGTCGAAAAAAATTGTCGCCGTCTGGCAAGGAAATTGCATTAGGCAAAGAAAAGGTTAAACAACCTGTGAGCTGCTGTCCAGCGGGCCTTTTCCTTCTCGCTTTTCTCCCTTTCGGGACTCAACTTAAATTTCCTGTCTGTAATTTATTTTCTCTGCACAAAAAAAAAATATATATTTAAAAAAATATTTTTTATATTATAGTTCTTTAATATTTCTATATTTACATAATAGATATTAAGGATGTTTTAATGGATTTTAAGAATGTAAGTCTTATGACTTATAGAAATAATATTGAGTCATATCTAATAAAATTTTTGGCATTGTTTTAAAAATGTATATGCATATCACTAAAAAAGATGTATATTTAGTTTTTTTCATATTTCTATAATTAGGTTATCAGAATGTTTAAGGATGTTTTGGTGTTTTACTATAATATTAATAATAGTTTAATTCAAAAATACAAATAAAATATATATGTATATATATAATTATTTTATTAAAATTCGGTTAACTTAATTTTTCATTATCTACTTTACTTTATATAATGAAAGAAAACCCTGATCAATATAGTTAAATTTTTTATTTAAGGGTTCGTTACATTCATAAGATAATAGTTATAATAGTAAATTACAAAATGTAAAGTATTGTAAAATGCTTTGTATTTATTTTGTTCAACTTCCTTAGTTCACTTCAAATTATTTTATAAATAGGTAAGCTTTATGACCCATTTTTTCGTCGAGTGCCTCCCGTGGCTTCTTCTTGCAATT